TGGGAAAACATATTTGTGGAATACAATTATAACAAAAATTAGATCTAATAATGAAATAATCCTAGCCGTCGCATCTTCAGGAATAGCATCACTATTATTGCCCAAAGGAAGAACTGCGCATTCTAGATTTCGAATACCATTATCAATAGATAAATTTTCAACATGTCATATAAAAAAAGGAACACAATTAGCACATTTAGTTGAGAAAACATCATTAATTTTATGGGATGAAACACCTATGACTAATAAATATTGTTTTGAAGCATTAGATAAAACACTTCAGGATTTACGAAACAATTTTGACCAACCATTTGGCGGATTGACAGTTATTCTAGGGGTGATTTTCGACAAATCCTACCTGTTTTACTTACAAGAACAAAAGAACACATAATAGATGCATGCATAAATAATTCATATTTATGGCCACACTTTAAGGTTTTAACATTAACAGAAAATATGCGATTAAAACATTTTAATACAACATCAGAGGAAAAAAAAAGAAATTGAAAATTTTTCAAAATGGACATTGGACATTGGAAATGGTACTGCTAAAGGAATAAAAGATTTAGAAAATGAGGATATTACATGGATAAGAATACCTGAGAAATACTGTGTTGATTTTGACCTAGATCCAATTGACAAAATGACAACATTAATATACGATAATTTTAACAACAATTTTAATAACATTGAGTACCTAAAACAACGCGCAATTGTAACACCGAAAAATAAAATCGCCGACGATATAAATAAACATATATTATCCTTGGTGCCTAATGAGCTAAAAACTTATTATAGTTATGATACAATACTGCCTTCATCAGAAAACATAGAAGAACTAAATCTCTTATATCCTCAAGAATTTTTACACAATTTAAATTTCAACGGTTTACCACCACATGAATTAAATCTTAAACTCGGAACTCCAATAATGCTTCTGAGAAATCTAAATCAATCTGCTGGACTATGCAATGGAACCAGACTTATCATAACACAGTTAACAAATAAAATAATAGAATGACAGATCATTACTTCAAATAATATTTCTGATAAAGTTTATATTCCAAGAATAGAAATGACTGTACATGAATCTAAATGGCCATTTACTTTAAAAAGACGCCAATTCCCTATAAAAATATGTTATGCAATGACAATAAATAAAAGTCAGAGGCAATCTTTGAATAAAGTTGGACTATTTTTAGAAAATTAAATATTTAGCCATGGTCAATTATATGTTACTTTATCTAGAGTGACTAATCCAAAAGGCTTATATATTACTCAATGATTCAAACAACAATTATCCTAATCACATAAAAAATATTGTCTACAAAGAAATCTTACATAACATCACATAAATAAATATATACAAAATATATACCACCTTATATTCTTCATAACATTAAACTTTTTTGAATATAACATTTTTAACAATAAATTCAATTAAAATATTTGTCATTATAACAACATTTTATTTGCTTTTTTCAGGACTAAGAAAATATGACAACACCTATTCGTGCACTAAAACCAAATGAAGTCTATGAAACAATACAAGCACGAGTATGCAGAATATGGACAAACAACGATTTTGTCACAGGACGCCTGATAAGCCTTGACTGTATCCTGGTTGATGAAGAGGTACTAAAAATTTAAAATGTTATAATACATATTATTTTATACAATATTTATTAATATTATTACAGCATGAAGTAACATAGGGAACAATTCGAGCACGAGATTCAGACTATATTTCCCAAAAAATTGTGCAAGGCAATATATACAATATTAGTAATTTTTATGTTACTGAAAATAAACCAACATACAAAGTTGTTCCACATAGTGCTATGATTCAATTTGCACGAGCAACATCCTTTACTCCAATTGTGGAAGACGCACCACACATCCCATTTCACAAATTCTACTTCATAGAATTCGACCAGCTATATCAAAGAATAAATAATACTGAGATATTAATAGGTACTATCTTACTTAATTTATTTTACTATTACTATAAAAATTTCTTGAATATTTATTTACAGAATTTCCCTATTTATATATAATACTAGATGTTATTGGAGTATTAACAAGTGTCCAGGCACTCGAGCATACACATGTCAGCACTAGACCAACAACACGGCGATCCATAACAATACAAAACATCAGGTACAATAATTTCATGTTCTTTTCCCTCACAGTTACTATTCATTACAACTATTTAACATGAATATAATATTTCCTCACTTTTATCGTTCAATTTTATTACTCATTTTTATAAACAACCTTTTTTTTACAGAAATGAACAACTACAGGTAAGCCTATAGGGACATAAAGCCGATCAGTTTGATGAGAATGTCCTTAAAACATTGAAGGCACCAATTGTGGCTGTTTTCTCATCAATGTTAACAAAGCAGTATCTAGGTATTTTTAACATTACTTTATTTTAACTTCTTTATATACACATATACAATAAAATAGCATACATTTATTATTTACTCTGTTATATTTCAAGGTAACTCATATGTTTCGAGTACATCAGCAACAATCTTCTATATTGACCAGATATCCCAGAAAAAACAACATTAAAAACAAAGTAAACATACATGTATAAAAAATATATTCTAATAAATTTATCATATTAAATAATCATACGTTTTATTTATACTATCCTGACCTTATGCATATTTTTATACGTACAGATTTTCCCATCAAAATCAACAAATTGAATTCCTACCACCCCCAAAAACACCTATCTAAACAATTGAAGAACAAATATCGGTAAACAGAAGAACAATACACGAACTCAAAACATTGGATGCACAAAATAATCTGGTTAGTACTATTAACTTTCCTATCATTTTTTTACTATACTTAGTAAACAATTTAAAACCAAATTATTCTATCTTTTATGCAGGGTGAAAAATTTACTGTGAGAGCAACAATAGTAAACTTTTCGACGTCTCAAGGATGGTTCTACAATTCTTGCCCCAGATGTTACCGACAATTAAAACAAGCAAGAATAGGTTGGTGGTGCAACAGTCATGGTCATAGAAAGTCAATGCCGTGTCCATGGTAAATAAATTTATGACCAGACCTTTTTTTATTTATTATATATCTTTATTTACTTTAATAAAAAATTAAAAGCATTAAAATATATATATATGTATATATGTTACAGGTATAGATTAACAATTCAAATTGAAGATCATACTGGAGACATAGAAGTCATCGCTTTTGGCAGAACCGCTCAAGCATTAATAAAAAAACCATGTTCTGCACTAACAATTGACGAAGGCTTTACCGATCCATTTATAATACCGCCAGCTATCGATCAGATCCGAGGACAATTCAAAATCTTCCAGATCTTCTTTCAACAACGAGGCACCCAAATGAGTACATTAATTTCCAAAATATTTGAAGACATCCATGTTCCATCATCGCCACCAAAACAGTTAACTGCAGGAACAAAAGAACCACATAGGTAAATATTGTCTTTAAAATTTTCTAGCAACTATACATAAATAACATTTATATTATATTAATAACAATTTTAAAAATTTTCACATCTTTCAGCCCACCGGCTATACCATCATCCCAGCTATCAACACCAGCCACATTTGATCCACACACTCCAACACCAAAAAAGCCTAGCACAAGGTAAATCACATTCAACACAACAAAGATTATCAATTTATTCAAAAACATATCTACAGATTATTCCATTCTTTCAGTCTTGATTCAAGAACAACAAGACAATCTACAAAACGCCCAAGAACAAGGTATTTTAAATATTTTTATAATACTTATTTCATACTATATAATTTATCCACCTTTATTTCTCTTAACACTTATATTTACAACCGTTTTCCTCATTTTTATGCTTGCAGCTAAAAAAAATGAAATGCTCAGGGACTACAACTGCCTTTTTTTTAGTCTATACATTCTGTATATATATAAATATTATAAATAATGACGCTATATATGTATGCATAAATATGTTTGTACAAATGTTATATCTATCATGTAATACAATACTATATAATACATGTACATATATAAATATATTTTAAATACAACTACCATATAATATAACACTGCATTCCGCAGCAACGCGCGGATCTCACGCTCGTCTCTTCTAATAAAACGTTGTTGTTCAGCTTAACCGACATTCCTCTTCCATGCTGATGAAGCCAAACGACTTGTCGTTTCAGTCTTCTTCAAATTTCAGCTTTGTTAAACTTTGAGATACCGAGTCATATTAGAATTGATTCAACAGTCTTAAGCTAATTTTATCCTTCATCGGGTTGTATGATTGACTCATGTAGTCACTTGATAGTATGTTAGTTTTCATGTTGCAGTAGGGTAGCCGTATGTAACAACTATCATGTTTTATTCTTCACTCAACAGGTTGCCCAATGAGCGATCTTTTTTTTTTAGAGACGAAGTCTTATTCCAACACAAATTAGTTATTATAATTTTTTTTAAGTAATAATACACGCTTCAAGAAATTAGTTATTCATAAACTAGTCATCCTTTTTTTTTTTAAGCATTACTAAATGCCTCAAGAGAGTTAATCGAATCATGTTAATGACAAGAAAGATAAGACGTGAATGGTATTTTAATTTGGTTTTCAGCAAACGTGTTTGCTATCAATAAATCTAAAAGACCAATTAAATATCGATGAGAAAATTTGGAAAAGAAAAATTCACAGATTCATTATTACTCCCAACTTGTAATGTGTTTCCACAACCCTTATTTCGTGCCAATAAGTAACATATAATATGACCGAAAGGAAAACTCTACATTTGTCTTCCAAATTATCTAACAAATTATAAGCCTTCACGTGCACTGCAAGGTCCAAAATAGAACCATATATCTTGTTTTCTTACAAGCAAAAGCAAAAGACTCTTTTTTTTTTGTTTTTTGTTTTTGTTTTTGGCTTTATAAAGGCACAAGATCCTCCCTTATTCAGCTAATCCTTTCTCTTGTAAGAAGCAACAACTGATTTTGTGTTCTTGGACAGGTAAGTATATGTTCCACCGATTCGTGTTACTTTTCTTTCTTTCTGTTTTTTTTTTTTTCCAAAATTTACTTTTGTTTTGTTTGAAACTTTTAGCGTAAAGATCTAAATTTTGGGAATCAGGAAAAAATGAAGAAAAGAGTTGGCGCTCGTATCAGGAAACCTCTTTCATGCACGACTGGAACTGGTATATTTTTCTTCTCAGTTTTAATCCAAGTTTACTAGTTTAGTTTTGGCAAATTCTGTTATTTCAAAATGACTCGTGAATAAGGAAATTAAATGGCAAATATAAGACAGGATATATAGAAAGACTAAAATAATGTGAAATTGAATATCATAGACCATTACAAGTTTCTATCTCAGGCGGTTATAGTTAGAGCATAAACAAAGGTTAATATTATTTCTTTAATATAAGTTTTATATGCCCATATTTTCTCCCTTTGGGTATTTAACTTAAGAGATACAACATTTTGAGAAAATAGGATAAGACTAAGGAAGTGAGTTGTGGAGGAAACGTTTTTCTAATTTCCTTATAAAGTTTCAGCAAGTATAACAAATTTTAAGAGAGAGAGAGAGAGAGAGAGAGAGAGAGAGAGATACCTATGAGTTTTCAAGAGGCTGAACACTTGAGAGCCAGAATTTAGGATGAATCATAGGATTACCGTTTTTAAAGAGTTGGTATTAGAACACTCCAATTTGTTAAAAAAAAATTTAAGCTAAATTAATTTATACATAAACATAGTACATGTGAAAAACTAGATTTCAAAAGTAGTACCCAGTTTATATACCTAGAATTTATGGTTGAGAAAATTAAAGAACTCTAACCCAGCCTGAAAGCTTATAATTGCTTCACAAACTTTAGCCAGAATGCCAAAATAAATAAATAAATAATGAAAACCAAAAGTTAAATTCTTGTATTTATTTTGGTGTCAATGCCATGCAGCGCCCGCCCATGTCTCCCCCAACCATTCATTTGGTGTGTTGGATGTTCGCGAGGAATACGCCAATGCCTTCCGTACAGAATCGTACATAGACTTTTGGACGCGTGTCATTGAACTATCCAACGGCCATTGTTCTCCGGCTATGTCAGTCGAGTCCACCACCGCAGCTCGGCTCCCATCCTATCGGCTATTCGCCGAGCATCTTTTAGATCCGAACCAAGCTACGGTTATACGGATCCTGGATTTGACCCATAATGGACCTAAGATCCACACACTATTGTCTGATTATTTCACACAAACCGCCAATACTTCTATCCTATGTGGCCTTCTATTAAAGGAAATTGAAAGGACACGTGTCAAATACCGATCTTTCAAAACCACCCTCCAATCACTTGAAACCGCTCAATTATTGCCCGAAAATCGTCTTTCAAACATCAAAACCCTGTTAACCGAATGTTCTAATTCCATCAACCCGTTTGTCTCACTCATATCATCCCCAAATCGGGTCCGTGTTGTTCAATCAGGTTGCTCCGGACTACTCCAACGTCTCGAATCAAGCCGTGATAAGGCTCGAGCCAAGCTCCAGCTCATCAACAAGCTAAAACACGGCTCAGCACTTGTCCTCGTGGCGCTGACAGCTTCACTAAGTGTGATTGTTGTGACTCATGCTCTATCATTAGTTGTGGCCATCCCAAGCTTGATTTCGGCTTCAATTGAGCTCGCATCGGCGAGAAAGCTAGCTAGGGTGATGGCTCAGCTCGATGCAGCCACAAAAGGGACCTACATACTAAGCCGAGACTTGGACACAATTAGCCGGCTGGTGACACGGCTAAATGATGAGCTTGAGCATATTCGTGTAATGGCCAAATTTTGGTTGGATCGAGGAGATGATTGGCTTCAAGCTAGCGGCGAAGTGGCGCGCCAGCTGAAGAGGAACGAGTCTAGCTTCAATGAGCAGCTTGACGAGCTAGAAGAGCACTTGTATTTGTGCTTCATGACCATAAACCGAGCCAGAAACCTTGTGGTTAAGGAGATTCTCAATCCGGCTGAACCAACTAAACAGCACTATATATTATAGACTATAGTACATAATTTACTTTGTTATTGAACAACGCTGAATAATTATGAAAAAAAAAAAGTTCAGACGCAGTCATGAAACTAATTTGTTTATCTTCTTTTCATTATCCTTTTTTTTCCTGCACCATATATACACGCGCACACATATATGTTACATGTATATATATAAATGAGTTTTTAATAATTAATTACGTTTTCATAATACTTATAACTAATTAAATATAAAAATTTAATGATGTGACGAATTAAATTTCACTAATTATTATAAATTTTTTTATCAACAATGCAATTTATTACAACCGTCATATCAATATTTTACGATTAAATAATAGCTAAATAAATATTAAAATAATCATTAAAACCCCATATATATATATATATATATATACCTATGATGAATTCCAAATATTCATTGTTTGGTTTAGAATCTAAGTTAGGCGTATACTTATATACTAGTAAAAAAAAAAAAAAAGTTTGGCGTACACTTCAATTTCAGGGTTTTGGCTCCTAAGGCGCAATCACCCCAAGTGCTTTGCATGCAAGCTCTATTGCCCACGGAATATGATTCTGTTTCTCCACAAGGACAATAACGGACAATACTGAGACCATTTTATTAATTATTTTTTGCTAACTTAGATCTCACTATTAATTTTACCTTCTGCATTAATAGTGCGAGTCTGTAATTCTCCATAAGGACAAATCCAAAGGGTTTCACATGCCAGAATATATGTGCATTCATCTATAATTACCGATGTTGGTCAATTACATTAAGAGTGAATGAATATTAAGCCGGTAGTCTAAAAATAAGATTAAGTGTTTTTTAATGGACTCGAACAAAACATCTACTAAACTATGTGAGCAAGTCTAATGCCATTAGGTTAACATCTCGGGAATGATAAATATATAGGGCGCGTTTAAAACTCGTTCTAAAATAATTTTATTTTTTATATAAAAATGAAAATGAAAACGTTTTCAATCTTAGACATAAATCATTTTTGAACATGCGTTTAGTAGTTTTATCAAGAGATTGTTTTCAATATAAAAAAAACTCATTAATGTCTCTCTTCTTCTCTCTCTACTCAAGAGAGGAGAAAACGAAAACAAAAAATGAAAAACGACTATAAAAGTCGTTTTTCATTTCTCTCTCATTTTACATTAAACTAAAAAATCGTTTTCATTACCGTTTTTTATTTTTATTGTGCCAAACGTTGTTTTAGAAACGTTTTTATTTTTTCCTTCTCGAAAAACGTAAAAAATAAAAACGATATTAATTCTAAACACGGTCATGATGTTTGTGAGTCCATTTAAAAAAATATATATATTTATATATATATAGAGAGAGAGAGAGGGGCGATCAGCCCTAACTATCTTAGTTTCTATGAGCGTGACCAAACGAGCCTCACCCGTTGATGAATTTATGTATTAAATTATAGGAAATGAAGATTTAACCGGTAATCTAAACAAAGTCTCAAGACGGGGCTTGAATTGAGACCGTGGTGCTTTTTATGGGTTGATGTTGCTTCGTAGCCCATGATTTCACACGCATGCATTTAAGATTCTGCCATAAATGGTAATTGGTATACCAGAATCACAGTGCCACTGATTCGCTGTCAGTTCTTCTTTATTGCCATTCCCAAAAATGTGAAAAACAAACAAGATCACCAAATGCCAAGGTACAATTGGTGTTTCTTAACTGTCGTTTGTCATTTTCTTCTTTTCTTTTTGGTTTTTTCTTCTTCGTTAAGAACAATAAAATTGTGACATACGGAAGATGATGAATTGAAGCAATATGCTTAATATTAGTGCCCTAATTAATTGGATGATTGATGAACCATATTTCTGTATATTCATTCATTAATGTGTTTGAACCGAACACGCGTGACCCAGAACAGTTTGTATATCTTAACAGTCATTTATACTATTTAAGTCCAATATTAAGTATTAACAATAAAAAAACCTAATTAATTGGATGATTGATGAACCATATTTCTGTATATTCATTCATTAATGTGTTTGAACCGAACACGCGTGACCCAGAACAGTTTGTATATCTTAACAGTCATTTATACTATTTAAGTCCAATATTAAGTATTAACAATAAAAAAAGTACGTATTTAGTGCCTCGTTCACTTCACAGATTCGAGTTTTCACTTCGAGCTGAGATGTGACATTTTCTGAGAGCTTTTCACTATAGCAGAAAAAGTTAGATGTGACATTTTCTGATAACTTTTTACTGTAAAAACCTAAAACTGAAAACTCGAATCGGTGAAATGAACGAGGCATTATTTTCTAATCCCAAAGTTGGCTTACAATCTAGAGACAGGTGTAGTGGTCACCCCAAATCATATATGAATGGCCTAGTAGTTTATTTCCAACTATCAAACCATGTGAGTCTTTAATTGTTCTACTTCTTTTTTTCAAAAAAGAAAATATATATATATATATATATAGCTTGTTGATTTTTTTTTTCTAACATTGGCGTCCTTTTGTAATCCAATGTAACTGCATTTACGCCACGCTGCTGTCACTTATGTGTCAACCGACACTTTCATCAGCTCAAGTGATTAACACATTGTCACTAATTAATAAGTGCGATTCTTTTTAAAAGGGTCCTCATAGCAATATGGCATATTTTGGCAAATTGGAGATCGGACAATAATTATAACAAAATGAGTGATAATGGTGCTTTATTAAATTTCTGAAACTCCCCAGCCCGTTATCCACCACAAATGCAGAGAAAGAAAAAAGAAAAAAAAAAAAAAGAAGAAATTAATATTTGTGTGAAAAGATAACATCATCATAACAAGAAAACTAATGTATAAGAGGCACTTGATAAGGATGTATTGAAACAAATGACACGGCCAAATCAATTTCTTGCCATTGAGATTGACATCCTTTTGGCCAAATAAGTCAACGGATGGACAACAATGTTTAACATTTTAGTTGTGGAAATAGGCGTTGAAACATCAAATTTCATAATTAAATTAAAATTGTGCTGTGAAATTTTGGTTCCACGACGAAAAAGCAATATTTTTTGTTTATTTAAGTTATTTTTTTTAGCGTTACTTAGTTTAAGTTTTATTGTTAAACCGAAAGGAACCGTAGATGAAAGGTTTTCTTATAAATATTTTCTTCCATACGAGTGTAAGAAGAAGAAAAAAAAAAACAAGAAGAATATATTGGTGGCAATCAATAATTATCTTTGCTTGGTGGCATTTGCAAGTTTGACTGATCAAAATACATTTGTGGGATTTGCTACTGCATATATGCATCCAAAAAGTTAATGTTATGGATCTCACACTTTAAGTTAAAGGTTTTAACGTATAATTACCATAAAACACTCATTTCAAGATCATGTTTATCCAACTTAGAGTTTAATTTTAATGGTTACTCTAATATAATTATTAATGAGTATTATTGTTTTAATCGATTGATGGGTTAATTAGTGAGACTATATTCTTATCATAATAAATCACATGAGCCCGTTTAGGTCATGAATTAGAACTATGATATTAGAATTATTTTCAATTTACGTGTGTTAATACTGTAGCGAACTATGAATCATGATTCGAATCAGAGAACGAATCCTCCAACCAAACTGGCTGTAAATTTGCATTGATGACTAACTAACTATGAAAATATGATCATTAATATATATATATATATATATATCAAAATTTATTAGTAGTGCAAGAGTCATGTGGCGGTGAGTATTATTGTTTTAATCGATTGATGGGTTAATTAGTGAGACTATATTCTTATCATAATAAATCACATGAGCCCGTTTGGGTCATGAATTAGAACTATGATATTAGAATTATTTTCAATTTACGTGTGTTAATACTGTAGCGAACTATGAACCATGATTCGAATCAGAGAACGAATCCTCCAACCAAACTGGCTGTAAATTTGCATTGATGACTAACTAACTATGAAAATATGACCATTAATATATATATATATATCAAAATTTATTAGTAGTGCAAGAGTCATGTGGCGATGCCCTTCCACCGATGAAAGTTGAAGATTGGGGATGAGATCTCCTGAGCGTGAAAAGCACTGAAAAAACCATGAAACTCACAAAGCAAGTAAAAATAAATAGCACAATGAAAATCCCGACAATCCCAACCACAAATTGATGAAAGAGCCATTAAAACCTCTCATATGCATAGGTTGGTGATCAGCTCACAAAATTTAATAGTTGGCCAGACAATAAAGTTCAAAATTCTAATGGAGGACGTCCAGCGACGTCTTTTAATTAATGGGTCCTGTGTCTCAAAGTTACCTACCAACATATACATGTATAGATCGAATATATATCGTAGCTTTTTTTCCTAACTTTTTGTCTGTGAAATTTCAATCTATTTATAAGTCACCACACAGTACATAGCTCCTTTGACAAAATCTCCGATCTTGCTTAATTGTACTTGTCTCTTCAATCTTAACTGTCAGGAAAAACCCATCACAGAGAAACACACCAACAATCCGTATTAACAAGACTGAAACCGAATTGGATCTATACATAAATGATAATCATCCATTTAGTTATTATCACAATAAAACATTTTTGAAATTTTTAGGTTACCCTCGTTGAAAAAATTTGTAGGAATTTCAAGAAAATATTGATTTCGATGAGTTTGTAGCTTATTATGCATAAAGTTAAAATTATTTTATTTTAACTTTAGGTGAATTGGTTGGAATCCAAAATAGTGAGTCTGGGGAGGGAACCCTCCCTCCTCTTCTCCTTCTCATCAAATAAGATTCACTCTCTTTCCACCCCTCTCCTTTCCTCCATCTCTTTCTCCCTCCTACCAATTCGTAGGACTTCCTTTTGATGCTGAGATCTACATAACATGTTTAAAGTTTCTCATGAAAAACTTTTTATTTGTATATTTTTAATGTTGGGAAAATTTTATTTTTAGTATCCTGTGTTATATCGAAATATGAATTTGGTACCTTATATTTTTAATAGTTTCATGTCGGTACCTCAATTTTTTAGGAAATATTCTTTTGGTACCCCATGGCAGTTTTTTAAGACACGAAAAGACAAAATTTTCCTTATTATTAAATATAAAAAAGTTTTTTTAAAAAATCTTAGACCTGTAACTAAACACTTAAACTTCATTCTGCCCCAAACATAAAGCAAAAATCATTATTGTAGGTTTAAAAAAATTTTAAAAGCTTTTTTATATATTTAATAATAAGGGTAATTTTATCTTTTCGTGTCCTTAAAAACTGTCCCAAAGTATTGAAAGAAGATTTTCTAAAAGGTCAAAGTATTTGCATGAAATTATTAAAAATAAAGGATACCAACCTCATATTTCAATATAACAAAAGTTTTCCTGTTAATCTTTATTCTATCTTAAAATATGAGGGAAAAACGAGCAAATTTATGTAATTTCTTAAATTTTAAAACAAATGTTTAATATGTTCTGAAATATATAGCAATGACATTTACATCATATGATATTTTTCTCGAAATTTTCTTCAATATGGAGCACCGTCGGTATTTCTACAAATGCATTTTCATCCTTGTATAGGATTATAGGTTAAGGATAGTGACAATAATGTTATAATCTAGAGAAATCGCTCACATTACTATTTATTAAAAGCAACTTAGCTGTTCGACAGTTTTTGAAGTGTAACAAAATGGTCCTGCAAGTAGTTATGAGAGACAGCTCTCGAACTAAATCTTCTCTCTGACCAATAGCCAGTATTGGGTCCAAACACCAATCCAACTCACATCCCCTTAATTACCCAAACAAGACAGTGTTATGCATCATAACACCCAAAAAAAATAAAAAAAAATAAAAATAATAATAATAATAATAGTAATAATCTTTAGGGGAAAAAGGATTTAAAAAAAAAAAAAACTCTTTGCCCATTAACCTCCACCCAAACCCACGTATCAAAAGAAGAAACATTAATGGCCACAACTGCTTGCAAGGAAACCATAAATGCTAGCCAACTACACCAAAGGAACCACTTCTATGTGACTATAAGTACACTATAATCACTCTCAAATTTTTCTACCCACTAAAACTCTCAACCCTTTTATATATAAATCAATAAGTACTGAAAAAGTTTCTCTTGTATATCATCATCATCATCATCATCTCACTAGCCATGGAAAAATCAAAAGTGAAAATCACTAACAAAACACATATCAAACCCAACAAGGAAATAGGGAGAAAAGAGTGTCAGCTAGTGACATTTGATCTGCCATATTTGGCATTTTACTACAACCAAAAGCTCATGTTCTACAAGGGGAGTGACTTTGAGGGCATGGTGGCGAAATTGAAAGACGGGCTTGGTGTCGTTTTGGTTGATTTCTATCAGCTGGCGGGGAAGCTTGGGAAGGATGAGGAAGGTGTGTTTAGGGTGGAATACGACAATGAAATGAAAGGTGTGGAAGTTGTGGAAGCTTTGGCTGAGGAGATTGGGACTGAGGATCTGTTGGTGGAGGAAGGTACGGCCACTTTTAAGGACTTGATTCCTTACAATGGGATCTCTAACTTGGAGGGTGCTCACAGACCCTTATTAGGAGTCCAGGTAATTAATGATTTTTAATTGCTAATTGACCATTTTTTGATTAATTGTTGTGCATTAGTATGAGATGGTGTGATTAATGCTGGTTAACGCTGGTATTTTCAACCGATTAATCATGATCATCCTGGATGTTTGAGAAAGCAGTTGTGATGATCCATGATTAACGACATTAGTTAGCATTTTTTTTAATCTTAATATCCGTACCTTCTCTAATCTTAAGTTGTAGCTTTAATCTAAGTTACAAAATATAATATTTTGGGGGGAAAGAGAAGAAAAGGGGGGAAAAACGCAACAAAATGAGGTTGAAATTGCCAAAAAATAAAAATAAAAACACACACACACAATGATAAAATACAACTTAATTCCTTAAGTATCAAAATTTTTATTTAATGATCAAATAGTAAGAGAGCATAGCGATTGATCTCTTTCTTTTTTGGGAGACAGAATATGAACATAGCAATTTTTCTTTAACGGGGTTGAGAAATTTGAACTTTCGATCTCACTACTACAGGTAGGGATGCAGATTTATCCTTAGGCTATCCCTATAATCATGGTTAAGTAATCTTTAGCCCTGATGGATTAACTTAATAATCTTAATAATTGAAAAGTTGCATTGCGAGTACTTAATTAACACAGATTTCACATCATGGCTCCATGAAAATGGTGACCAAATCAGTTTGATCAAAGCAGTTCTAGTAGTATTTTCTTCTGCATATATAAAGATCTGTGGTCTATGATCATGTGGTTGAGAAGCAAAACAACATACCCAAAAACGGAACTAGTACATAAATTATAAGAACCGCGTTTGCATAATGTCACTGTGACAGTGTTGCAGCACAACTACCCCCCTTACCAAGATTGGTGCATCACTAAATGCCTTTTATGGCACAGGTAACCTTATCAGTATTAGGTCTCGTTCATTTTACCGATTCGAGTTTTCAGTTTTAAATTTCTACAGTTAAAAGCTTTCAAAAAATATCACATCTAACTTTTTCTGTTACAGTTAAATTTTTTTAAAAAATATCACATCTTAACTCGAATTGAAAACTCGAATCCGCGAATTAGATTTATGTATGTAGTCATTTTTTTAGTTATTTTTTAAAAGTTAAAAATATGTATAAAAGAACGTGGCTGTGCGTGAAACCCTCATCTCCATTTTATCTAAAATTTAATAGGATCTTACACACCTTGTTTAAGAGCCTTTTCTTTGCTATTTATTAATGTTTGAGAAAAACCGCCACTTGTAAAACTAGCAGTTCCTTGATTCTTTACATGCCAGATGCCACTAATTACTTCTGTTCGTTTCACAGATCCACTGCTAACTAGACTCTTCTTTCTGTTCTTTAAAAAACAAAAACAAAAAAGTTTATTTCGGGTTTTTCAGTCCTTTTTTTTTTCTAATCGAAAGGTTGGCAAAAAAAAAATAATAATAATAACAATTGAAAAAAAAAAAAACATAAAACCTCAAATGATAACTAAGGGATGACATCGATTGCTATGTTTCAGACTTTCAGTTAAAGTATTGCTGTCATTAATAATATACACTAAACAGCAACACAACTCCAATAAGATAGAGTTTTTTTTTTTTTTTTTTTTTCTTTCCGGTAGTCAAATAAGATGAGTTTTTTCGGTTATATTTCCTTGATGGATGATTTACTCATCAAATCTACGCCATAAGTGCAGCTTCTTTGGTCCCACTCTCATGGCAAGTACGAAATCAGACCAATCAAAACATAGGACCGTAAATTGAGACGAATATTTGTACCAATCTCTTTTAACTTATTAGTTTTGTGTACTTGTCTTTAAATTCCATTCTTTTTAAGTTGATATATAATTTTTAAAAAAAATAGTATAAAAATCTTATCTTCTAATAAAAAAATAATAAAATAAAATATTTATGCTATTTCTGGTGAGAGGTATCCTTTAGACGTCCCATTTTAATTTGTACATGATAAAAAAGCACCATAAATTGAGATTTCAGGTGAGTATTTGTCAGTTGTTTTTAGCCGTACGTCAAACTTAGATCTAAATAATGGAAGTAAAAGCATGAATTTACCGCTAGTCTAGGCCCCGCCATTGCATTTGAGATGAATGGTTCAAGTTTGTGCTTGATCAAATCGATTTCATTGGCTATAAATATTTATTAGTTTTTCATCTATCAATTTTGTACTATGGTAGTTGAATTTAGCCCAAAAAGTGTACGCAAATTATACAAATCCTTCTATATTCTTCTTTTTTTTTTTTCGGCTCGTAGCCTTGTTGGATTACTGAGATCGTAGCCGAAAATTTGTAAATATTTTTTTATGTATTTTCACGTTCGTTTCAGTGAAATTAAGATCCCGTTCATTTCGTTGATTCGAGTTTAGAATTTGAGTTTTTCTACAGTAAAAAGCTCTCACAAACAATCACATCTAACTTTTTTGTTACAGTAAAAAGCTCTTACATAAAATCACATCTAAACTCGATTCAGCAAAGTGAACGAGACCTAAATGCATAAAAATTATTGTCGTTTTCTGAAAAAGAGGTCGTGACTCGTGACACAAAAAGAACGTTCCAACGCCAACTAATAAAATTGTTTATTTAATAAAATTGTTGTCGTACGGCACTTTAATTTCTGGGCCTGGGGTCCATTTAAAGTCTTGTGGCCCTGCCAACAGTTAACCAAGCTGAAAGACGGGATCGCGATCGGGTGCGCTTTAAACCACGCAATCCTAGATGGAAGCTCCACGTGGCACTTCATGAGTTCATGGGCCGAGATCTGTAGTGGGTCCGACTCCATCTCGGTCCCACCCTTCCTCGAGCGCACCAACGCCCGCAACACGCGCGTGAAGCTCGACCTCACCCTACCCCCGGACCCACACGCCTCATCCAACGGTGAATCGAAGGACCCACTGCCATCATCTAACGGCGACGCCAAGCCCGGTCCACAACTCAGAGAAAAAGTCTTCAAGTTCTCCGAATCAGCCATTGACAAGATCAAGTCTAGAGTCAACCAATCGAGCGGCTCAAAGCCGTTCTCTACTTTCCAGTCTCTCTCCGCCCACATCTGGCGCCACGTGACCATCGCACGTGACCTCAAGCCCGAGGACTACACGGTGTACACCGTCTTCGCCGATTGCCGAAAACGGGTCGACCCGCGGATGCCGGAGAGCTACTTCGGAAACCTAATCCAGGCGATATTCACCGTCACCGGAGCCGGATTACTCCTGGCAAACTCGCCGGAGTTCGGCGCGGCGACGATCCGGAAGGCGATCGAATCGCACGACGCGAAGGCGATTGAGGAGAGGAACAAGGAGTGGGAGAGCGCGCCGAAGATATTCCAGTTTAAGGATGCCGGAGTGAACTGCGTGGCGGTCGGAAGCTCACCGAGGTTCAAGGTGTACGAGGTTGACTTCGGGTGGGGGAAGCCGGAGGGCGTGAGGAGCGGCGGCAACAACAGGTTCGACGGCATGGTTTACCTTTACCAGGGGAAGAGCAAAAAAAAAAGAGCGGCGGCCGGAGCATCGACGTTGAGATCACATTGGAGAATTTCGCCATGGAGAGGCTCGAGAAGGACGATGAGTTTCTTCTCGTCGGTGTCTGATGGTCGATCGACTAGGAAGACAAGAAAAGAGAAAAACAAAACAAAACAAAAAAATGTTTTGTTTGATGCAAGTGAGGTTTGTGATTTTGGAATTTGGTGGTAATAAGTGGATGAAATCACGACAGAGATTGTATCTCGCGTTGCAGCATTTGTTTTTTCTGTGTTTCTAGGTACCAAGAATTATTAATGTTGTTTTTGTGTTTGGATTCGTTTTATTTGATGTTAGTTTTATTGATTGATTTTCTATGTTTTAATGTTTGATTGCTAATCATTGACGTTGGTATGTTGTTGGTATTGGTTGGTATGATTTTTGGAAATGGTCGAATTAAAGTGCGATGTTTTGTTTATTGTATGATCTTGTTCATTATGTACGATGCAAGTATTGATATAATCATTGCATGGACGTGTGAATCGATGTGTAAGACATTTCAGTAATCAGTAACGTAACAAATTTTTATGTGATGTATAATATGTATCCGTTGTTATGATGAGCAATCTATCAATTACGAAGATGATGAGAAAATTCAATTCGTGTTGGGGTTCATATACATATGTCGTTTCCCATACTTAAAACGACACCAAACGCAAACGGCAAAAGCCATGTCATGTCTCAGGAGAGAGAGAGAGAGAGAGAGAGAGAGAGAGAGTGATTAGTTTATCCCTTGAATCAGAAAGTCATCATCTAGTTCAAGGCATGCACAACAATTTTTCAAGAACACGTGGGACAAAATCGCATGTATAAAAAGTAGAATAAAAAAGTATGTTTTCTGAGAGAATTATGTGATAGAGTAAAAAAATAATAATAATAGCTCACTGATGTTGCGTAGCTTTAAATCCTCTGATTATATAGAACCGTATCAAATAAAAAAAAATACAAAACAAAGGAACGTGATGGAAAATTTATCGATTTAAATTTGCATATTATTCATTACACTATGCTCATAAAATGGTGAGTCCTATTAAGTTAGGTCTCACCTACTCACTTAATATGACTCACTTTGTGTAAGTAGTAGAATTTTAACTCATTAAAATAAATAAGAGTACTACAAGTGTGATTTTCATAGTTACTGCAATATTTACCCGCGTATTATTATTTTAGCCACTATATATTGAATAGTTGGCTTAAAAAATTAATGAAATTAAAGTTTTATCACGCTACGTTATCAAATTTTTATATTTAGAGGTGACCACAGTTAGAAACGTATCCACTAAAAACTCGTCCATACATACATATATATACATACACACACACACACATATATATATATATTTACCCGGTAAAACAATTTATTGTTTTGAATTAATCTTACTGGTGCTCCATGAATTTTAGTGTCATTCTCACTTTACCTTCTAAATTTTAAAACTCTCATTGTGCCCCCTGAATTTTGAATTTGACCCATTTAAACCTTTTGTATGAATTTATGTTAAAATCTTATATAAAAATATGGGTTAAGTATGGTTACGTGGTTTTTATCTATTTATTTTTAATAGAAATTTAATTAGAAAGATCATGTGACTATATTATTTTATTTTTCTAACTTTTTTAATAGAAATTACAATAAAAAGGATCAAGAATAGGAACATTTAAAAATTTAAAGGGTAAAATGAGATTTTTTATTTTAGCGACAAACTGAAAATGACCCTAAAAGTCAGGAAGCACAAGTGATAATAATCTTTAAAAAAAAAAAAAAAGTTACTCTTATTTTATATTTTACAGAAAGGGTCTAAAAACTATGTCGATTTTAAACACAAAAAGACAATGAACTTTGAACATAATGGACATGTCCATTTAAATATAAACGACCGAACTTTTTTTTCACACAAATATACTATTTGTACTCTATTAGACGACACCAAACTTCGAACACAAACGACTTGTCATTTAAATATAAACTACAGTCTCATAATTTTCCAGACAACAATTATATATTGTTTGTAGTGTTATACGACACCAATGTAAACAAAACATTATCGTGTCTAGTCTAGTCTAGGAAGAAAAGGACAACAAATTTGTGCCAAAATGCCGATAAACGATCCCTTTAAAAATAAAAAAAAAATAAAAAAACATTAAGATTTTCATTACACTTTTAAAGTATAATCAAAAAACACTATGCCGTTTTTTTGTTTTTTGACATCACGAAAAGTAATTTCTCCCTAAAACGATAAGTCGTTTTTATGAAAATAATGATATATTGGAAAGGCATTGTTTTTTGTTTTTTTAACCTTGCGTTATTATTGAACACAAAAATGTATACACTAAGAGTAAACCGTAAAGGAATATAATAGGAAAGATAATGAGATTGAAAAGTAAAGTAATAAGATTAAGAGTCATTAATTCTCATTTATGTGTTTATTTGACTATTAGATAGCATAATAGAAAACAACACATTCCCTTTCTTATTTTTACTAAAATTAGGAATAGCAATTTTATTAATGTAATCACTAAAATGTCCTTTTACACAATTAAATAATCACTGATTGTATAGTAATTCATTAAGGGTAGATAAGTAAATTTAACATCCACTCCCTTTGATTGCAAAGATTGATATTCTCTTTTTTCATTCCCTATATTGTGTGGAACTCACTAAATTTCTATTATTAATTTTGTAAGTAGACACATTATTAAATAGGAAAGGGAATCACTCTTTACTTTCTCCTGAGAATCACTCTTTACTTTCTCCTTCTCTCTCTTTGATGCAAAGCAAATTTGATTTCATGTCTGCAGAGTAAAACAAAAAATTCTAAGCAAATTTATAGGACTGCAAATTTTTAAGGGACATGTAGAGAAAGCTTACATCTAGAAAACGACATGTCAAAAATATGTTTTGGAGTTAACGACAAGAAATTATTGGTGGAAATCACATGTCGCTTTTACTGAAGCGGCATTGAACAAAGGTCGGGCTTTTTAGGGCAACCGACAATAGACATACAAATAAACGACATGTAGTTTTGTTTTCAGAAAAAATAACGACTTCTTGTTTTATGATGTACAAATGATTCTTTAAAGAAAATCAAATATTTTTTTTATGTGAAAAGAAATCAGTCAGTTTTTATGGCCTATTAAATAACATTAATTATTTATATGTGTTTTTAGAATGCAATTTTATTTGTTTTCCAACGTTCATATTATTGGGCTCTTTTCTTGAATTATCTTTTCATCATATTTTATGTTCGTACCAAACAAAAAACCTTTTCTTTTTCCTTGCTGGGAGTAACCAATCAGATAACAATCTTTCTTAAAAATATCAGATAATAATGTATACTCTAAAGAAACAGATGACGTAAATTATAACCTGTTTAATTTACTGATTTGAGTTTTTAATTTAAGTTGATATGTGATTTTATATGAGAATTTTTTACTATAATAAAATGATTAGATGTGACTATTTCTGATATCTTTTTAGAGTCTGTTTAGTTCGTTAATTCAAATTTTTAATTCGAGTTAAGATGTAATTTTATATGAGAGCTTTTTACTGTAGCTAAAAAGTTAGATGTGACTATTTTTAGACTTTTTTACTGTACTAAAATTTAAATTCTAAACTTAAATTAATAAAGTGAATGAGACCTTAGTATAACAAAACTCAAATTTTAAATTTAAATCAGTAAAATGAGCGTGCTTAATATTTTGCTTAATAAAAAAGAGCAAAATATAATACGATGGATTTTTTTTTTTAAGGCGGAGAATAAAACAGCACCTTTTTTTTCTTTTTGAGCATGAAATTAATACCTTTTTTTTTTTTTTTTTAGGATAACAACATGACACCATTTTTCAGAATTAAAAATAAAACGCTTCTTTTTTTCTTTTTTTTAATAAAAAATTCTAAGTTGATAGTTTGAGAAAGAAATGAAAAACAAGATTTGTCTTACTGACAAAAAGAAGAAGACATCTCATCAATACCCAATACGGTCGTCGTCTTCGAGTTTTAGCGGAGGGAGACACTCACCCACGACGACGAGCCTGAAATCCTGATTCGTAAGCTTCCTAGGGTTTTCGTCCTCTGCTCTTCACAATCTCCTCTCTGATTTTCAGGTACTCTCTCTCTCTCTCTCTCTCTCTCTCTCTCTCTCTCTCTCTCTCTCTCTAGAATTATTCAACGGTAAATTTTTCGTTTTTAGGGTTTTCGATTTCGTTTCGTGCTTCCTTTGTGTCAAAGAAACTCAACAAATCTAGGGGAAAAGGATCTGCTTATTCAAGTATGAATTGAAATTTCAATTAAGGATTCGGAGGCGTGGAAAACCTAACCGACTCTGTACTTTAATTGGATTTGAATTGCTCAAACTTTCAACATGGCACATCGGCAAGGCTATAAATTGTAATGTGTTTTCGTCTTTTTCTTCTTTTTTCCCGGTCTTCCCGTGCAACCAAAGAGGATTTTTTTTTTTTTTGGATGCGAAGATGGAAATTTAGATCCTTTTAGTGTTTTGAAGTGGATTGGTTCGTCTATTAACTTTAATTTGAGCTTGCAATAGTAACTGTGTTTTTTAATAGGGGCTGTCATTTTACTTCTGAAATGGTTGGAACTATAGCCTGAGTAAATGGGGGTAAATTTTATATAAAGAACTGCTCTTTAGGTATTTAATTTGAGATTAAGTCTCCAATATCTCTCTCTCTATCTCTAATTTTCTTTTTGGGGTATGATGTAGGACAAGTTTGAATCTTTGGATTGGATTCTTTATTATGTTAGCATTTGTTAGCCTATGGATAAGGCTTATCTTTGTAATTCAGTTCAGTTTTATTCATATCATCATCATCATCATCATCATCATCATCATTGTAAAATCTTAGAGCTAGTTTGCAGTGCTTTGTTTCCCAACCTCTTGAAAGAGTCTAAATTTCATATTTCCTATGCTCCTCTTTTTAACTTTTTCTTTCTTGAAATGTGATTGCAGGATAATTTTTATCACGTGTATTTTGAGTACATATGATCTGCGCCGGTTGTTAGTTCATCAATAAAGGAGGAAGTTACTAGTTATTTGTTGCTTGAGGTTCCAATGGACTCACCTGAGCACGGTCGGAGTTATGCGAAATGGGAGATGGAGGATGGCTCAGATGTGAAGAGTGACAGGGCTGGAAATGATGATGACTGGGAAGCCAATGATAAGAGGAAGCACAGGTCAAGTAGGTCAAGAAAGTCTGGTAATGGAGAAGAAGTTGAAGGATTAGATGGAAATGGAAGAAGAAAAAGCAATGGGGACAGAAATGATGCAAGAAAAAAATCTGGTGGCTCAAGCAGAGTAGATAGCGAGGAAGATGATTATGACTCTAGAAAAGAGTTGCGCAAGCAGGTGAAGAAAAAACAAGAAGAAAGTAGCCTGGAAAAATTGAGCAGTTGGTATCGTGATGGAGAAGCAGAGATCAAGCAAGATGGTGGAGACAAGTCAGATGGTAGAGGGAAAATCCGAGTTGAAGAAACTGAGAGAAGAAAAATGACCACAAAGAATCCAGAGCATGAAAGTTCTCAAAGTAGAAGTAAAGTGAAAGAAGATAAGTCACATGATGGAGAGCTTGAGAAGATGCTGGATAAAGATTCCAAGTATTCAGACAGGAGAGAAAGTGGACGAGAGAAGAGTCATGGATCTAGTGAGCATACAAGGAGCTCCAGGAGAAGATGGGATGAAACAGAAGTTGTCAAAAAAGCAGAAGACAATATTTCTGAAAGGGCTGATTTAAGAAGTGGTAAGGCTTCCGATCCCAAGTATGAGAGTTCTCGAGAAAAAAGTGCATCTTCCAGAAATGAAACCAGTGAAAGTAGAAGCAAGGGTTTGGATTCAAATAGTGACAGGGGTGCTAAAGCTAATAACCGAGAAGAACGAAAAGCTGATGCTGAAAGGAGTAAGAGTAGAGGCAGGTCAGAACCAGTAGAAGAAGACAGTAGGGGTAGTCCTATTGCTCGAGAAGACAGATCAGGCAGGGAGAAAACTGAGAAGCATAAGCAGCAGAGGTCATCTGGTAGGGATGTTTCTGAAAGCCGAGAGAGATCTTTTAATGCAGATGAAGATGGAAGTTCGTGGGTGAAAGATAAAGGTGCAAGAGAAGTAGGAAGTGCTAACAGGTCTAGAACGCCAGAGAGAAGTGGCAGGCGTCATCATGATTCAGAATACTCTGATGTGGATTATGAAAGAAATTTCAAGCGGAAGGAACTTGAAAAGGACAGTTTTAAGGATGATCGATCTAAAGGCAGGGATGATAGTTGGAGCGAAAGGAGTAGGGACCGAGAAGGTTCCAAAGAGAACTGGAAAAGAAGACAAAGCAGCAGTAATGATAAGGAGACTAAAAATGGGGATGTTGGGTATGAGCATGGCAGAGAGTGGGAGATTCCTAGACATGGTCGCGAAAGGGGTGACAGTGAAAGGCATAATGAAAGACCTCATGGTCGATCTGGTAACAGGAAAGATGGAAGTAGAGGTGAAGCTGTCAAAACATCCTCAAACTTTGGAATTTCAAATGAGAATTATGATGTAATTGAGATTCAAACTAAGCCTCTAGATTATGGAAGAGCAGAATCAGGGTCCAACTTTTCTAGGAGAACTGAAGTTGCTCAGCAGTCTGATGGAAAATCAACCCGTAATGATGAAGAATGGGCATATGCACAAGATGATAGGGCGAGGACTGATTATGGTTCTGGGCTTCCAAGTGAAGATTTGAAAGAAAGATATATGGATGATGGTACCCCTGTGCGAGATCAGAGTTCAAGGAGGGATGACTCTGATTTGCACGGAGGGAAAGGAAGAGGCCAGAAAGGTATTATGTCTGGTCGCACTGTTGGTGGCCAAAGTTCTAGTTGTGGTTCCCAGCCTCCATATGGAAGCCAGGAGCCAGGATCTTTCAATAGAGCTTCTCTGCAAGGCATAAAAGGGGGAAGACTTGGGAGAGGAGGAAGAGGCAGGCCTACTGGGAGAGACAGCCAACAGGTCGGAATCCAACTGCCAATAATGCCATTTGGACCTCTTGGAATGCCTCCACCAGGACCCATGCAGCCACTTACCCCTAGCATGTCACCTGCCCCAGGACCGCCAATTTCCCCCGGTGTCTTCATTCCACCATTTACTCCTCCTGTTTGGCCTGGAGGGCGAGGTGTCGATATGAATATGTTAGCAGTTTCTCCTGGACCGTCAGGCCCAAGATTTCCCCCTAATATTGGCTCTCCTGCCAATCCTGCAATTTACTTTAATCAATCTGGCCCTGGAAGAGGAGGTTCTCCTAGCATGTCTGGTCCTAATTTTAATGCTGCAGGGCCAATGGGTCGTGGAACTCCAGCTGATAAAACTCCTGGTGGTTGGGTTCCTTCTAAAAGTAATGGCCCCCTTGGTAAAGCTCCTTCCAGAGGAGAGCAAAATGATTACTCACAAAATTTTGTTGATACTGGTATGCGACCCCAGAATTTCATCAGAGAGCTAGAACTTACTAACGTTGTGGAGGATTACCCCAAGCTGAGGGAGCTCATACAGAAAAAGGATGAAATTGTGGCTAAATCTGCGTCTCCTCCCATGTACTACAAATGTGACCTGAAGGAGTTTGAGCTGTCCCCAGAGTTTTTCGGGACAAAGTTTGATGTCATCCTTGTTGACCCCCCATGGGAAGAATATGTTCACCGTGCTCCTGGTGTGGCTGACCATATGGAGTACTGGACATTTGAAGAAATAATGAATCTCAAGATTGAGGTAATTGGTTACACAATCTTTTTTTTGTTAATTTCAAACCCATCTTGACATTTCTCCTGTTATCTTTCACGTTCATTCAATATGGAAATACTTTTAAGCCTCTTGTTCCCCTTGCCTCACTTCGTTGCATACTGCTAAGTGTTAAAATAATAATACAGTATTTGGTTTCATGTGATAGGTTATAACTTTTGTACTTCTATTACTGCTAGGCTCTGCTGCTTGCACTGATATCTAGTGCCATGAATTTTGATGTTATTGAGCGTTTGTGTGGATACCATCTGTTCATATACGCTATTTCATTTTTAGTTGTATCTATGACTTATTAATGCCATTAAAATTTAATTGCTTGTATTTTTTATTTATTACTATTATTATTATTTGAAAATGAAATTGCTTGTATTGACATGCTTCCTTTCATGGGATTCGGATAACTGATTCTCTTGCCCTTGTTTTCACAGGCAATAGCAGACACGCCTTCTTTTATTTTCCTATGGGTGGGTGATGGCATGGGACTCGAGCAGGGCCGTCAATGTTTAAAGAAGGTGTTTGATCAGGCCTTTAGGACTTCGATATGCTTGGAGATTTTCATTTTCTGTGAGCATAATTCAAATATTTGCTTGTACTTATTTATTTGTTATCATGTTGCAGTGGGGATTCCGAAGGTGTGAGGATATTTGTTGGGTAAAGACAAACAAAAGTAATGCAACTCCAGGGTTGCGGCATGACTCTCACACTCTGTTTCAGCACTCAAAGGTTAGTTTCTGATGTTTTGTGGACATGTGCTGCTTCATTGGTGGCCTTAACCTTTTTTTTTTTTTTTTCCAAAGTTTAGCAAAAGTAAACTATAACTAAATTAAAACAAAAGTGGTTTTCTTAAAAGCTTATTGTTTTATCAATTTGATGAAGGAACACTGCTTGATGGGCATAAAAGGCACCGTCCGTCGCAGTACTGATGGTCATATAATTCACGCTAACATTGATACTGATGTAATTATTGCTGAGGAGCCGCCTTATGGTTAGTACCTTCATACACATTTATTGCACTAGTAACCTTTGGTTTACGTTGTTTGGATGACACTCGGTATTGAAATGATTTTGGTTATACAGTAAATATATAACATTGCAAATAGTGCGATCTCTTTCCTTAGAAACTTTTGTTTTGATTGCAAAATTGTGGAAAATTGATTGTTAGGACACACTGCTGTTGGTTTCCTTCATTGTGTCGAGTGATGAAATGGCACTTACTGTAAATTCCAATGAAACTGCAGGTTCAACCCAAAAGCCTGAAGACATGTATAGGATAATTGAGCATTTTGCTCTAGGCCGTAGGAGGCTTGAACTTTTTGGTGAGGATCACAATATTCGGTCTGGTTGGCTGACAGCCGGTAAAGGACTATCCTCGTCAAATTTCAATGCTGAGGTACAAGATTGTGCGGGCGTGCGTGCATTTAAGCACAAGATGTTCTTCCCCCCCCCCAACGATGCTTATCATATGCACGTCAAGCATTATCAAATGTCATTTGAACCTTTTTCTTCATGATTGTTTTCTGAGTTACTAATTCGGCTGGTCTTTTGTAGCAAGTTCTGACTTGGATTTGCATGATGACATCCAGGCCTATACCCGGAGCTTTGCTGACAAAGATGGAAAAGTGTGGCAAGGAGGGGGCGGGCGAAATCCACCTCCTGAGGCACCTCATCTTGTTGTAACAACCCCCGACATAGAGTCTCTTCGGCCCAAATCACCGATGAAAAACCAGCAGCAACTGCAGCAGCAACCATCCGCGTCAATTTCTCTGACAACAAATAATTCTTCAAATAGAAGAGCGGCTGGAAACTCGCCGCAAAATCCAACCGCTTTAGGCTTGAACCAAGAAGCAAGTTCCAATCTGTCGAACCAGGCTTCTTGGACTTCACCAATGGAAGGTTTCAAAGGTCGAGAGGGAAATTTTCCTTCGGATGATAAGATTTTTGATATGTATGGCTTCGGCGGGAGGGTAAATGGAGAGTATCTAGATTTTGAGTCCCACAGACAGATGAATTTGTTGTAACAAGGAACTCGGCACAAAATTATGTGCTGCAATGTAACATTTATTTTTTTTTGCCCCTCTATATTATTAATGAAAAAAGAAATGAAATAATTTTTTCCCCGAGAGTACGTCCTCAAAACATCTCCCATGCAATATGAAATTAGTGTGCTAATGTCAAATCTTGGTAATTAAATAGAAAAATTACTATATTAGCAATGCTATTGTCGGTGTTAAATTTAACATGTTACATTTGGTAGTAAATTTCTACCAAATTTAACACTAAAATAGCATATGTCAAATTTCGTTATTGATTCGTATTGGTGATGCATCCATTTTTGTTTTTTAGCACTTTATTTTTTAATTTAATCATAACAATAGTAGTTTTCTCAAATTGTTTAAAATGAAAGGTAAACATTAACAACTTTCAAACTTAACTATGACAAAGTAAATATAACATTTGAAATAGTATTATATATTATATCATAAATCCAAATAACATGTCACACATGCTATATTTATATTTATATATATATATATATATATATATTACTGTCAAATATTATATTGACATTAGCATTTGTATTAGAGATGAACTCAGAAATTACTACTAACTCCAAAGTCCATGTCGATCCAACAATCCGACTCCAATTTTTTAAGAAGACTAAAATCTGAATTTATTGACGTGCTTAAATTTGTATGGTTCATAGTCTAGACTTAAGACCATATATTTCCCATTCCATTTCAAATATGCTTTAATCATTAAATTGAGGGCCAAGAACTTTGCTCCAGAAATGAACGTCTCTGTGAAGATCCAAAGCATCTATATTTCTGAATCATTATGGGAAGAATAATTGTGTACCACAAATGGATTCGAGAGCACCCTAAACTTTTGTCATGACTATGCTCATGAAATACAGAATCTCTAACAAACTCTCAACGGCTCTAAACTAAAATTGCAAAGAGACAACAATCCGAGATGTCGACATTTCTTCAGCTTTTTCTTCATGTTCTTGTGAGGTCTCGTATCTAGCCACCGCGATGCACAAAAAAGAAAAAAAAAGAAAAAAGAAAAATAGAGATGGACTGGCTAGCAATGAATATCTTTAGACTTTTGATCTTCTTGAAAAGGCTTCAAACTTTGATTTTAGGTTGTGGTGCTGATGGGATTTTCAACTAGCAGTTTCCTTAACAGTAGCTGCTGGAGATGATTTCTGCCCCTGCTCTTGGTCTTGGGAACTAGCTGCTTTCGGTTGCTGATCTCCAGTTTCTAAGTTCACCTCCGTGGTATATGCGCCACCTGCAGAGGAAACGCTGTCTGCAAAAGGCAAATCCCAATATTCATTCAGGGTTTTGCCGTCTTGTCACGTATCATGCACAGAATGGGTTTCCATGAAGACTCACCTTGAGAGATAGTCTGAGCTTCGAGCTGGCTAACTGATTGAGACGGTGTCTGTCCCTGCTGTTGGGCAGCGGCTGCTTTTAGCTGCTCTTCTGTAACTTTTAAGTACTCCTCACTGGTGTAAGCATTGTTTTGGGATGAACTGCCATCTGCAATAGAAAACGTCTTAGCTCCAGATCTCTTCACAAGAATATAACTGTAAAAAGTGCAAGTGGGAAACAAACTTATTGCAGAGAAGCACCATTGATGTGACTGTTTAGTAACTAAAAGACACTAGCTTGATCACTTAAAAGGAATAAATAAAAAGAAGAGAGAAAATACCACTAATCGCCATCGGTGATGAAATCACTTGTGTTGGCACATCAAAAGTGCCACATACTACGTAGTAATGTGGGACCTGGTAATTTCTCTTTTTGCGACGTGACAGTTTTATACTACAGTTCTACTGACACATGTGGTGCAAGTGATTTGCAGTGCTTGAAAAAGAAAACCACAAGAGATTGCTACTGTCAACAGGTAGTACCATGAACCCTACTGAAAAGGCTAACCGAAATGGAAATATACTAAATTACACGCATACTAAGATCGTATTGGATTTACTCTTTACGTAAAATTTGATAAATGTGACCAAGAAAGTTCCCAATCTTTAATGTGGAAGTCCCTAAAACCAGTGAATCTGTTGTGAGGAGTAATTCCTGAAAAACGACATGAAGAATTGATTATATAAGTCGGTTGTCGTTTGGTCGTTCAGCAACTTAACACAACGCAGTGTAGTATTTAGAAGGACCACTCATCAAGTGACACGTGGAGAAGCAAGAGTCGGTGGAGAGAATTCTAGAATATCTACAGCTCTTCCTCTTCTTCACAACAGAACATCAAGACAGAAGGAAAATTCGTTTTAGGGTTTTTCAGAGAGAGTTCTAGAGAGAGAAACAAGTGAGAGAAACTGTGGTATATTGAGAGATCTGGGTGCGTTTGGGTACTGGGAAAAATCTGGTAAAGAGAGTGATTTACTCACTGAGAATTTTTCCTGAGAGCCACGATTGTGGTTGGGTCTCTATTGTACAGTTTTCTATTTTGGGTTGCTTCTTCTTTGTAATCTCTGAGAGTGGCGAGGATTGAGGGTGTAATCAATTCTTAACTAGTGGAAAGGGTTTCTCGCAAGTGAGCCCAACGGGGACGTAGGATTCTTTGCATCCGAACCTCGGTAAAAAATTGTGTTCTTTCTTTAAAGGATTCTTGTGTAAATCTTAGAGCCTGTGTTAGGATCTTCCTAACAGTGGTATCAGAGTTTTGGTTCGAGGCGTAAATCAAAGGTGGGGGCTCGAAGATCAAGATTCAAGATTCTGAAAAAGTCACCGAAGATTCAAGGCAGCCAGGGTTTCGATGAAGTTTGAACTGGAAAAGTTCGATGGCTCGGGTGATTTCGGTTTATGGAGAAGAAAATGAGAGCAATCTTGGTCCAACAGAAAGTTGCTAAAGCCCTCGGGGATATGAAGGATTTTTCTGGCACTGACGCAGAAAAGGAGGAGATGCAAGAAATCGCCTTCTCAACGATCATCCTCTATCTGGCCGACAATGTTCTCAGGCAAGTAAATGAAGAGAATACTGCTGCAAAGGTATGGCTAAAACTTGAGCAACTGTTCATGACTAAATCACTAACCAACAAAATATCTTAAAGAAAGCCTATTCAATTTTAGGATGAATACTTCCAAGTCCCTTGAGAAGAACTTAGATGATTTTAATAAAATAGTTATTGATTTGGCCAATATTGGAGAAAAGATAGAGGAAGAAAATCGGGCGATTTTACTGTTAATCTCTCTTCCAGAAACGTTTAAAGACGTTAAAAATGCTATTAAGTATGGAAGGGAGAGTCTTACTTTGGAGGATGTTCTGTCAGCTTTAAGGTCTAGAGAATTAGAACTTAAGTTTGAAATGTCCTCCAAGAAAAACAACCATGGAGATGAAGGGCTTTTCTCCAGAGGCAGACCACAAAGAAGAGATCAGAGCAAGCCCAGTAATAGACAGAACTCAAGATCAAAATCAAGAAATGGTCAAAGGAAATGCTATCACTGTAATAAGCTGGGCCACATCAAGAGGTTCTGTAAAGAATGGAAAAGAAAGCTGGCTGAAAAGAAGGCAGGTGAAGGTGATGGTCAAAGGAAATGCTATCACTGTAATAAGCCGGGCCACATCAAGAGGTTCTGTAAAGAATGGAAAAGAAAGCTGGCTGAAAAGAAGGCAGGTGAAGGTGATGGTCAAAGGAAATGCTATCACTGTAATAAGCCGGGCCACATCAAGAGGTTCTGTAAAGAATGGAAAAGAAAGCTGGCTGAAAAGAAGGCAGGTGAAGGTGATGCTGCGGTTACAAGCCAAGATTCAAGGTATGAAAGCTCAGAAATGTTGGTTGTTGGACTTAGCCAAAAAGAGAACGAATGGATATTGGATTCTGGGTGTACATACCATATGTGTCCCAAGAAAGAGTTGTTTACTGAGTATGAAGGCTATAATGCTGGCAGGGTCCTGATGGGAAACAACCATTCTTGTTCAATGGTTGGAGTTGGTTCGGTTATTGTGAAACTGTCAAACAAAACACAACATGTGCTCAAAAATGTCAGACATATCCCGGAGCTTAGAAGGAACCTTATCTCTCTTGGGGCACTAGATGATTCTGGATATGCTTACAAGGCAGAAGGTGGAATCTTAAAGGTTCTAAGAGGATCTCTAGTGGTACTTAAAGGTAGAAAACACCAGGGGCTGTATGTACTAGAAGGGCATGCAGTAACAGGTTCAACCAGTGCAGTAATTAAAGAGAACTCAGAGGCTGATCTATGGCATAAACGCCTTGGGCATGTTAGTGAAAGGGGGCTAAGAGAACTCGGTAAACAAGGACTTCTGGGCAAATGCAAGATAGATCAGCTTGACTTCTGCGAGCCGTGTCCTAGGAAAGCAACACCGACTTAAGTTTGATGCATCAACATTCAGGGCAAAGTCTCCATTGGACTATGTTCACGCTGACCTTTAGGGGCCAGAATCAACACAAACACATGGTAATGCCTGGTACTTTCTTTCTATTGTTGATGATCATTCTAGGAAGGTGTGGGTTTTTCTATTAAAAACCAAAGATAAATGTTTTACTAAGTTTAAGCATTGGAAAACTTTGGTAGAAAACCAAACTGGTAAGAAACTAAAGGCCCTTAGGACATATAATGGCATTGAATTTTGTCATGATATCTTTACCGAGTTTTGTAAAGAAAATGGTATCTTTAGACATAGAACGGTCAAAAAGACCCCACAACAAAACGGGGTAGCCGAAAGAATGAATAGAACACTAATGGAACGTGTTAGGTGTATGCTATTTGGATCGGATCTAAGTAAGAAATGCTGGGGGGAAGCTGTAACTACAACATGCTACCTAATTAATAGGAGCCCTTGTAAACCTATTGACCTTAAAACCCCTGAAGAATGTTGGACTGGAAAACCACCAAACCTAAGTAACCTTAGGGTCTTTGGTTGTGCTGCTTACGCACACCAAAGAGAAGGGAAACTAGATCCCAGATCAGTAAAATGCATATTTTTAGGCTATCTTGAGGGTGTTAAGGGTTATAGACTATGTGTTCAAGAAGGGCCCCATTTTAAAATAATTAATAGCCGAGATGTAATTTTTAATGAATATGACATGCCTTACTTGAAAAGGGGAAAGGATACTGCTGGCTCTCCCTCGCTTGATGCAGGTACAACTTCAAGACAAGACCTCAAAGTTGAGGTGGAACAAATTAGAGGAACCAAACAACAAGATGATGAAGTTGAACCAGAAGAACCACAACAAACCACTGAAGAGCCTCAAGCTGCCACGGATGAAAGTCTCACTGAACACACACAAGAACCCCCAGAAAGTGTGTCAAAATACATGCTGACTCGAGACAGGGAGAGGAGAACAATAAGACCACCAAAGAGATATGATGGTGGCAACTTGATTGCTTATGCGTTGAATATGGCTGGAGAAATAGAAGCAACAGAACCCAAATCATATGAGGAAGCAGTCAACAGCAAACATGCCAACAAATCGTTGGCGGCCATGAAGGAGGAGATGCATTCTTTGATGAAAAATAATACATGGGTTCTAGTGGACAAGCCAAAGAAACAAAAGGCAGTGGATTGCAAATGGATTTTTCAAATTAAGGAAGGAACCACATCTCAAGAACCCAGGAGGTACAAGGCGAGGTTGGTTGCAAAAGGCTTTACTCAAGTTGAGGGGATTGATTACACTGAAGTCTTCTCTCCAGTTATAAAATATAAGACCATAAGAACACTCCTTTTAGCGGTTGCTTACAGAGACATAAATCTAGAGCAAATGGACGTAAAAACTGCCTTCCTACATGGCGACCTCATGGAGACAATCTACATGAATCAACCACCGGGTTTTGAGGTAAAAGGTAGTGAACATAAAGTCTGTTTGTTGAGAAAATCACTATATGGGCTGAAATAATCCCCTAGACAATGGTATAAGCGATTTGATCAACATATGATTAAAGCCGGCTTTACTAGGAGTCAATATGACTCCTGCTTATATTTTAAGGAGACTAATATTGACAATGCAGTATATCTTCTACTATATGTAGATTATATGCTGATTGCCAATAAGAACTTAGCAAAAATTGATGAGACCAAGAAAATGCTAAGTGCTGAATTTGATATGAAGGATTTAGGTTATGCAAATAGAATTTTAGGAATTGATATTAAAAGAGACCGAAAACAGAAACTTCTGTATCTATCTCAGGAAGAGTATTTTTAAGAAAGGTTGTTCAAAAATTCTATATGCATCAATCTAAATCTGTTAAAGTACCATTGGCTGGTCATTTTAAGCTTTCTGCAAAACAGTCTCCAGAAACAAAAGAAGAAAAGATTAAAATGGCCAAGATTCCCTATTCTAGTGTTGTAGGGTCATTAATGTATGCCATGATTTGCACAAGATCTGATTTAGCTTATGCAGTAAGTGTTTTGTACAAATACATGTCTAATCATGGACAAGAACATTGTCAATAGTACATTGAGTTATGGTTTGATTTATAAACAAAGTTCTAACCCTTTGAACTTCGAAGGCTTTGTAGATTCTGATTTTGCAAGGGCTCTGGACAGAAGGAGGTCTACTTCAGCTTATGTAATGACACTAGGAGGGAACTGCATTAGCTGGAAGTCACAACTACAATCAGTAGTTGCTTTATCAAGCACCGAAGTAGAATATATAGCTGGAGCAGAAGGTTTTAAAGAAGCTATATGGCTTCAGGGTCTGTTAAAGGAGTTGAAAGAATTGAAAGGAGTTGTTGTGATTTATTCAGATAGTCAATCAGCAATTCACCTCTGTAAGAATCCAATGTATCATGAAAAGACAAGGCACATTGACGTACGGCACCACTTCATAAGGGAAAAGGTTGAAGAATGGTCAATAGAGCTTGAGAAGATCAGCACAGAAGAAAATCCATCAGATATGGCTACTAAGGTTGTCACTGCAAGCAAGTTCCAGAAGTGTCTGGACTTGCTGAGCATTGGCAAGACTTGATTATATCAAGTCAGGGCAATGAACTTTGCGAGAAGCTCAGGGTTAATCAACACTGTCGTCTTTCAGAAATTAAGGTGGAATGTTGTGAGGAGTAATTCCTGAAAAACGACATGAAGAATTGATTATATAAGTCGGCTGTCGTTTGGTCGTTCAGCAACAGTGTAGTATTTAGAAGGACCACTCATCAAGTGACACGTGGAGAAGCAAGAGTCGTTGGAGAGAATTCTAGAATATTTACAACTCTTCCTCTTCTTGGCAACAGAACATCAAGACAGAAGGAAAATTCGTTTTAGGGTTTTTCAGAGAGAGAGTTCTAGAGAGAGAAACAAGTGAGAGAAACTGTGGTATATTGAGAGATCTGGGTGCATTTGGGTACTGAAAAAAATCTGGGTAAAGAGAGTGATTTACTCACTGGGTATTTTTCCTGAGAGCCACGATTGTGGTTGGGTCTCTACTGTACAGTTTTCTGTTTTGGGTTGTTTCTTCTTTGTAATCTCTGAGAGTGACGAGGATTGAGGGTGTAATCAATTCTTAACTAGTGGAAAGGGTTTCTCGCAAGTGAGCCCAACGAGGTTGTAGGATTCTTTGAATCCGAACCTCGGTAAAATATTCTGTGTTCTTTCTTTAAAGGATTCTTGTGTAAATCTTTGAGCCTGTGTTAGGATCTTCCTAACAAAATCCTCCAAAGTTCATCTGATTCAAGAAATATAAAATCCAAAAGCTGCCTACTGAATGTGAAAGCCCTTTTGCAAATATGGATATAGAAGAGTTTCAGAATGTCCCTTAGTTCACCGAACAGTTGTTGTTGGATTTACGAATAATTCATGTACAGAAATAGTTTGAACAATAGTGCCACAATTTTGAAGCTTAGAGCTTCCAAACTATGATACAAGAAATAGAAACGATGCGCTCAAATTTTGCCAGTAGTTTAGCCCTGCTCCTAGTGTCTTTTATGTTTTAAGGATTGTTCTTGAAGCCAACAATAACTAAATTTCCAGGAAGTCCTTTTCATTTTCCCCTACTGAATAGGGTCTAACAAATTATTATTACAAGCATGCAAAGGATTCTAAATAAAAGAAAAATGTAGCAGCCACTAAATACTAGCCACGTTTTAACACTACCCCAAATATTTCAAGAGAGTCTAAATCACTCACTGGGGTCAGCAGCCATCTGGTTACTGAAAATTGATTTAAGGCTGGGAGGAGGGTTGGTGGTTTTGTCTACTTCTGGCGTTGAACTCGAAATTTCATCCAAACCAATCTCCTTTTCGAGAGTGCTCTTGAATTCCCTAGAAACTTCCTACACGGAACTATACATATTAAAACCATAAATAACACGTTAAAAGCCAAAAGCTTTATATGTATCTACCTGAAGTTCTCTAATGGTAGGTTGAAAAGCTCGCAATGTCTTCCCTAAACTCCGTGCAACCTGCATTGGGGTAGATTATGAAGAGATGTCACAATGTTAGTATAGCCAGTAGATACGAATTTCTTAAAAACTACTCCCAAAATCTCAATAACTAGACCCTCACACAGATATTGTCGCATTCAAGATAGTCTGTCTCTTTGAACTGCTCTAGTGCTCTGCGGAGAATGAGATTATAGAAAGCACAATCAAGGCAGACTCATCTCCGCAACCTATCAGCCTAGTCCTTCAAGATGTTCTTACAAGATTATGCTACAATTAACAGTTCAATATTAACAGCAGTGATGTACCATAAACAAATCTAAAGCAAAGGAGCCTAAATAGCTGTCCAATTCCAAAGTTTTAGAGTATACTCTTTGAGGTGTATAAACAAAGTTGGATATTGCAGTCAACTACAGTCCACAACTTTCAAGGATGGGGTACAACACAAACTCCTTTGTCATCAAAAACGAAATTCAAACCTACCGCTATTCTTAATGGAGTGAAGTGAGACATCTTTGTTCTCCAATTCCTTAGGGACCTTAACCCTTTCCAAAAACACAGCAACACATCCCCTAACTTCAGTTCTTTCTCCCTCTTTAATAGATGAAGATAATTTTTTTTCCTTTCAAAATTGCCCCCAATAATCACACTAAAGAAGCATAGATTATAAAGGAGTCTAGTAGTCACACAAAGTTGCCACATAGCAAACAAAAAAAAAAACTAAAAAAACTAAAAAAAAAAAACTAACCTCAGCCAGACCTTTGGGACCGAAAACCAGCAAAGCGACCACACCAATCACCAGAGCCTCAGGAGCTCCAACTCCAAAGAGAGATGCATAAGCCACCCTATCTTTACACTTCTTCTTCTCTGCAACACCATCATAACAATTAGTAAAAAGTTCTTTCAAACACCCACAAAATGAGCTAAGATAAGTACAAGGGAAAGCAATCTTGGAGATTAAGAGAAAAAACCCCATAAACTCAGATTAGAAAAACTACCAAATTTCAAAGATCTCCAAGTTACTGACACACCCAGATGCTTCAAACCACTCCATGGTGAAAAGGGTCCGAGACAAAGTTGAAGTCTTGCGGTTTTGGGATTCAAACTTACAGAAGAAGAAGAAGAAAAACGAGAAGAAGATAGATTGTTGAAAATGATCGGTTTTGTGGTCGTTGACGACAAAGAACACAGACATGTTGAAGCTCTAATTACCGAGGAGGCCATGATCACATTCACGATTGAATTTGAGTTAATTTCTTGATTTATGAGACATTTTGAGCCATGAGTTTCTCATTTTTGTTTCTGTCCGAACCATAAATTATCCAAAATTAAAAGTAAATTTAACAGGACAGTATAATGGGCTCAATTCTTCACTGGGCATCGGCCTAAAAGTGAGAATGAGCTTCGAGTTCCGTATGGACCATTGCTGTGAGTCCAATAAGGTGTGTAAGGCCATCATGTTGGGCTTTTCTTCTACTGGGCCTCAGGTCTGCTAATAATGGACCATTTAGTAAGCCCAATAGTTTAGAGTCAGCATCAAGCAATTAGCTACCGCTGTACAGTGATATATTGGTTTGTATGGGAACAAACATATAAGCTGCTATGAGTTATCAGGAATAAACATATAAGCTGTTATGAGTTATCTATATTATATTATGAGTACATATCAAATATTAGTTTTCAAATTATGCCAAGTTATTTGGACAGGATTTTTCCACGCTTTACTTTTTATTTAGTAATTTGCAGATTATCATTATTATTATTATTATTATTATTATTATTATTATTCAAAATTTCAAATAGGAATTTGAAAATATATAATTGTATCGTGAAACAGATGCGTGTCGTTTTATGTTCAGAAATATCTTGGCCAAAATTAATGACAGCGGCCACTTCATAGACTTGTGGATTTGGCATGCAGTGAACTTTCCAACATCTGATCAGCAGACTCCATAAAAAAGACAATTAATATGGAAATTTAGAGGTTTAATCTGCTGGGAATACTACCTACAATTAAACGTTTTAGAATTAACCGGATCATGAACATTTTGACACTATTGGATTTTGATTATTAGTTTCTATTATTAAATATTTTACACATATATACACATATATTGTTTGATTATCAAATAATATTTTACATATATTTTTCATATATGGATGGATGATTCAATCAGAAGAGCTTAATTACATATATTCTCTTTTGAACTCCGTTTATTTCATCGATTCGAATTTTGCTACAGTAAAAAACTCTAAAAAATAGTCACATCTAACTGTTTTGCTACAATAAAAAGCTCTCACATAAAGTCATATCTCAACTCGAATTAAAAATTTGAATCAGCGAACTAAACGTGCCCTTAATTATTTGCATTTAATATTGATAGATGTCGTTGACTGTAGTTTTCTCCGTGATTTTCTGTTTTAAGACTATAATTAGGCACCTTTTATTTTACCAATTCGAATTTAAAATTTGAGTTTTACTACAGTAAAAATCTCTAAAGAATAGTCACATCTAACTTTTTTTACTACAATAAAAAGCTCTCACATAAAATCACATCTCAACTCGAATTAAAAACTCGAATCAGCGAATTAAACGAGCCCTTAGAGTTTCTTTTTCTATTTTAAGACTATAATTTGGAGTTTCCTTTTCTTGTTTTAAGACTATTATTTGGGAAGTTTCCTTTTCTTGTTTTAAGACTATTATTTGGGGAGTTTCCTTTTCTTGTTTTAAGACTTATTTGGAGAGTTTTCTTTTCAATTTTTGAACTATGATTTGTCCTATAAATTACGTTGGTGATTTGCATGTATACATTTTAATAAGTCTAACAAGATCTGAATTCCCAAAATATATATATAGATATATATATATATACACACACACATACATATAGTAATTTAGTACTCTGAATTGCCGAAAATGGAAACTAACTTTTTGCTTCAATTGGAAAATAAAAGAACTTGACATATATGGTCAAAATGTTAGGTAAATTAGGAAGCTATCTGGTTCTTTATTGTTGTTATTATTATTATTATTATTATCCTTATTTGTGGAAAAAGGGAAACTAAACCGAAAACATTTTGCATCTGCGAGTATATATAGATATAGAAGAGTAGATATATACTTGTACATCAAATTATTTTTGTTTTTAGGAATTAGATTGGTACTTTTCAAATTAGGAATTAAATTTGCTATAGGTTTCGGTTCTTATGTACAGGACAACTTATGTCAATATTAATATTGAGAACAGTTTCATTAAGGGAGAAAGAGAGAAATAGACTAAGACTTGAGATGAATTAAAATTAATAGGCCAATAGTTTACATAAGTTAATAAATAGGCCAAATTACTATTTCTGTCCATAACTTGTATGGTTATGAACCATAACTTGACAAGTTATTGTCTATAATTGTCCATAACTTGATAAGTTTGTCCATAATTTATCTGATTATAAACTATAACTTGATAAATTATGACATATTAATTTCTATAACTAAAAATTAACCTATATACTTTCTTAAACTTTTCATATTGACTTATTTTCTACTATTTTCCTTTCATTAATCGAATCATTCGTTAATGTGTTTTGGGCTATAGGCTATATTGGGCTTCAAATCTGCTAATAATGGACCATAAGCCCAATAATTTAGGGTCACCATCAAACAATGAGTGTGGTGTTGTTGATGATGGCCTTGATGGGGCTAAGGATGATTACTACCAAAAAAAGAAGAAAAAAAACAGAGAGAGAGAGAGAGAGAGAGGAAATTGCATGTAGCTGTGATGCTTTTGCACTTATCCTCAGAGGATGCCAAAGTAATTATTATTATTTTATTTTAAAAAGGGTAGGATATTCAATTTGAATTATATAATCTTTTTTTAAAAAAAGAATATATATAATTAATAAATAATATTTCATGTGATATATTAAAAGCTTTTAGATGAACTCCCACCTACTTGATAGCTTGAACATGTGGTATGCTGGTTTAGCTTTTGGCTTGTAGGACCATAACCACACCTAAAGCCATCCCCATTAGGGGGTCTTCTTGTGAAATATCCAGTGGTTGCACCTCCTTGTGGACCCCATTCACCTTTTTCATTCTAGTTATGACTTTACAAAATTAAAAAAAAATAAAAATAGAAAAAGAGAGGAAAGAAAAAAAAGGATGATTTTATCATAATTCTTAACTTTAATAGCTCATCATTCAGTGAAACGTCCATGTAAAAGCTCAAAAGCTAAGCTGTGAAAACTATTATAAAATCCTAGCGAATCCATATTGGTCCGGCTGTGTTTTGACATCCTATAAAACTTATTTGGTAGGGCAAAAAAAAAAAACAAAAAAACAAAAAAACAAAAAAAAAACAGAGAGAAATGATCAATCATAGTTAATTATTTGAACGTGATTAAAGGGATCCCCACACGTTAAGAAATTTCCGCGCGTGATCATAATAAGTTTAACGTCATTACAATAACTACCGTAACAGCGAACATTAGATATGACTTAAAAGATGTTTAGTCAAGTTTTATTTTATGTTATTTTTTCCTCCTCTAATTTAATATATTTTTATCCTTTTGCTGGTTTTAGAATAACAAAATTAATCGCTTTATGAGTCTTGCGATCACCGTTTTGCTTTTGGTACATTTGCATTAATTTTAAACATCTTTAGCAAGTCTTCAAAAATTCATTGTTAAAAAACACCGAGGAATAAACCTCTTAAAGCTCGCTAAAACATACATTATTTCAAAAACTCTATGCGCAGTTTTTTTTTTCTTTTTTCTTTTTTTTGAATTGTACGTGCAGATTCATGTACTCGTGCATTAATTATAATTCTAAAAACGTGTGATAATTTGACAATTAAACTGAATAACATAATTGTTTTTTTTTTTGTCGTAATGAATTCTGATGATATCACGTGAAAGCAACAAAACAAATCTTACCCAAGTAACATGTATAGAATTTGCAAATTAAATTGGCCCTTTAACGCCGTGAATAAACCTCCTTTTTTTGTCTGGTTTAAAAGTCTATAAAAGTGAATAATCATGGTTTAGAACTGTGTAACCCCAATAGCTGCTAATTATAAATATTACATTGAAAAGGTAACTATATACATAGGAAAAGGGGTAAACTTTGGTAATGGATCACTAAAAAGTGACTTTTTGAGAGGTTAAAAAAGGTAAAGGTTAATGAAAAGCAACTTTTTTGAGATGAGAGAGAGAGAGAGAGAGAGAGAGAGAGAGAGAGAGAGAGTAATGAGGCCGAAGAGAAGAGGTTGAGACATCATTATCAGAAAGCAAAAGGATAATTGGCTGAAAGAGAACCACCCGTGCAAGTTTTACTTGTTATGTGAGGGGGGAGAAAAAAAAAAGAAAAGAAAAGAAAAAGATAGAGGAAAATATAAAATGAGAAAAATAAAATAAAAGAAAAGAAAAGGAAAGGAGAGAGAAAGTAGAGAGAGAGAGAGAGGCTGTCACTGTCTCACGCACGAGGGGTGCGCACAAAAACCCATCAAAATACAAAGAAGATGTGGATCTGCACACGTGCACATCTTTGACGAATAGAAAACACGGGAAAGTTTTGCATTAAAAAACAGAGAAAAAGTTAACAACAGAAAACAAAGTGAAAAAGCAAGGGACTAAAAACCCCCTTTGACGAAAACACCCACGTAACAACTCAAATTTACACATGAGACGCTTTTTTTTATTTTTTATTTAAATATTTATTTTTTGGATTAAAGTTGTTGCTGAAGTTACATGAGAGATACATGAACCGTCCATATGCGTGCGTTATGCTCTTTTTGTTCCTTATTTTCCTTGTTTGCTGACAGATAGATTTCGATGCGTTATTCTAATCATGACTCTTGAAGTCTTTAATTAGAAGGAACAAAAAAAAAATCATAGTATTTTTTTTTTTTTTGGCAAAATGTGAATTTTGTAGTATGGTATAAAAAATTATCGTAGGCGGCAATGATATAATCCTCCACCGTCAATCTTTGTTAAATTGAATCAAATGTGATATATTTTTTATTTTTAAAAACCTGTTATATTTTTATGAGTGTCACTGCATATTGTGACGTTATTTCTCTAAAATTGTGTATATCTCGAATGCAAATTTCAGACCATACGTGATCGGTTCATTATTTTTACTAGACTTGATCAGTCATAAAAGGAGAAGGGTCGGCCCCATCTGGTCCTAAAGGCCAACGAGTCTAGGGCCGGGCACAATGTATTTTTAAGAAAAAAATTTAAAAATATGTGTTATGGCAGGACCGGCCTGACCCGAATAAGGTTTCGGGCTTGAAACTTAAGTCCGGACCGGCTTGAGGGTCAAGGTGGGGTCGGGCCGACCTGAACACTTAAGCATGTCACGCTAAGCTCGGGCCAACAGTGATAGGTCTCGAACCAGCCCATTTAACTAAACATAAACATACAGTTCTAATTTTTTTTAAAGGTAACTTACAACTCTAATCGGAACACAGTTTTAATAGGTATTATAAAATGAATGAAATGGTTATTATTATTATTATTATTATTTTCAAATATAGTTTTTATTAGCAAAAAAGAAAATCATAGGATATGTTTTTTTTATTTTTAATTCTTTTTTTTTTTCAATTAGATTCTAAAGGAAGTTTATGAACTAAGAATATCTATTTAGAATATTACGAATTAACTGTGTTGATATTTATCTATGTAGCATGATTTTCTTAACAGAAACTAGAATTTAGTTTTCAATGTTTAAATAAAATAGTTTCAGCCCAAAAAAAAAAAAGTTGTAAATAACATAAAAAAGGAAAAAAAAAAACTTTTTTAAAAGGTATATTGCAAAGTGCAAAGTGCAAACAACATCCAAATTCCAAGTGCTTTGCAATGAATATCTTTCATTATATTTGGTTCAATTGAGTAAATTCCAATTCGTTCGATTGGTTGATAAATTTATATCCGCCCATTATAGACATCTACCAAATTGTCCTTATCCCAAATTACGTACGGTATGCCACTTTCAAGTGATATGATCATAATAATGCCAAGTACCTAAAAAGCCTAAAACAAATACCATAGATCTTTTTTTTTTCTTTTGCTAATCAAATACCATAGATCTTATACACTCATCAACGGCCATGATTGCTTATCCACAATTACTTTTCTACCCCTGTAGGACCCAACCAAACAAATACAATCACGAGGGTCACGCCCGGGGTTATACATGGTATAAATGAAAAAAAAAAATGAAAAAGTAGGAACTTTATTAATTGTATGAACAGAACGAGATCACGAGAATCTCACACCACATCTGGTTCATGGGTCTCTGCATTAATACCCACCTTTTTTTGATTATTCACTTCGTGGCATCAAGGTAAATCCGGGATAGGATTAGGGGCAATTATGTCCATTTGAACTTGATTTTGTTACAGTGGGTTCCTAGTGCCTATTGCAGTCACAAAACATGGAACCTTTTATTTTTAATTATTTTTTATTTACAAAATATGGTATTATTATTAGGCGTTTTGACTCATAAAGCGATTATTAAAATAAGGTGATTTTAATTTATTTTAGTAATAGAAAAAGCACAACACAAACTAGCTTTAAGGGAAAATAATAATTAATAACCAAAAAGAAAGAAATAAGACTACGAATAATGAAATTGTAGGAAATAATAATTGGTGGGTCCCAATTATCCATTGGACATGACGCGGCAATATTTTGTTGCGCAAAAAGAAGAAACCGGAGCATAAGAACTGGTGGAGAACCACAACAGGAGAGAGAAAGTTAGAGAGAGAAAGAGGAGGTTAGTTAAAAAAAGACTCTTCCTTTCTAGTCGCATTTCTTTTGTTTCATACCTTCTTTTTCTTCTTCTTCTTCTTCTTCTTCGCTATTGCTGAAACCGGAGCAGAGGACTGAAGAAGAAGAAGATTCTTCGGAGCCGGAGAAAAATCCGAAACCCTGACCGACATGTTCTGCGAATCTCGCCGGAGAAGACACCGTTTTTTGCCTTCGTAGCCGGCCGTGAGAGTCGCCGCCGCCGTAGGGGAATTCGATACTTGGAGAGCAAGGAGTTTTTGTTTATTTTATTTCCCGGATCAAAATCGGAATCGGAATCCGAATCCGACGATGAGAACCGTTAACAATAGCGTTGAGACGATCAACGCTGCCGCCACTGCTATCGTCTCCGCCGAGGCTCGGGCCCAACCTGCTGCAGTCCCTGTAACTCTCTCTCTCTCTCTCTCTCTCTCTCTCTCTCTCTCGTGTCTTCTGTTTGTGCGTACATCTCATGTTTTGTTTGTATATACGCATGTATGAATTGAGTTTTTGTGTGATTTTAGTGTTTTTTGTTCTGTTTTGATGAGTAGAAAAGGTAGGATCTTGACTTTTGATGCTCTCCTTTTTACTCGAATTATGTTTTTCTGAGCGGTCCTGGACGTTTTTTGTGGAGAATTAGGCTCCAAATGCAAATTATTTTGAAGATTGGTTTCTTCTTTCTTTTGTCTTTTTGGAAAAAAAAAATTTCGGTTAAATTGCTTTCCTGTTGTGTTTGGTTGCTTACAATCAAGGGAAATCATGGAAAGGAGAATTAAGTCTCATAGATTTAACCAATTATAACTCTTTGGTGATTAATTCAGCTTTAGTCTTGTCGAGAATTTGATTTGTGTAACATGCAAAAGTTCAGTTTTTTTCCTCCATATACATATTGGGTTTCAAATGTTATCCCTTTGATTCAAATTCAACCATCTCTTCTTGATTTGTTTTCATCATCTGGATTGACTCCAAACAATGGTTCTTGGTGCTGAATTTAACACTTGATCTGCATCCTATTTACTTTCTAGTTCTTTATATTAGGGCTTAAACAAGTTAGGATGGTATCAGATTCTATATTCTCAAGTGATAATTTTCATTAGAATAGAACATCCGGGTTTTCGGGTAGTCTACATGTAGAAAACATATTTTTCTTGTCATTACTCTCTACAGATTCTCTCTGCAAATAATCGGACTAGAAAAAAAGGTGAATTTAGTTTATGTTTGGAACTTGAATTTAGGGGGTAATGTGTTGGCATAGGAAGAAGAAAATTAATTGGTCATATGACGCGTTACCCTCCTAACCCCTCACCCTTATCTTGTCCCCGGGGACCGTAGTCATAGAGGAGGTGGTCCTTTTCGGATGGGGTACCATAATAATGTCCGCCTACAAACATTTTTAGGAATATTCACTTTCAAGTTGAATAGCCCATAAACTTTGAGCCAATTTCACATGTCATGTTTGAGGAGAAGGGTGCATGTGCCTTACATCCCTCGGTTATTAGGACCCAAGACAATTGTGGAGCCTGAAATTAGATATAAAACAGTGACCTACCTTTATGTCAAGTTCCATATTTTCACGTGGAAACATGACATTATCTTCTGATACAAAATTGATGTCTTTTTTGTAACTTTATAAAAATACTTCATAATTATCTTGGATGTTTTCTCACTTACTTTTTTAAGCACTTTATTGTGGATTTTTGAAGTGCGACATGAAATCTCTGTGCTGTTGCATTGCAAAATTTTGCCCCTTTTTCCTCCTCTAGCCAATGCTTTCCAAGCATCACCTGTTAACTTTTCAGACGTAATTTAACTAAGTTCTGTTCATGTTGCTGAGGGGTATATAATAATACCCTTGGTCTTTTAAGGTAGCAAGAGTTTGACAATTCTCACGTACGCAGCCTTGTACAGACTGACAAAGTTGATGTTAAAGTTATTTCAAGGTTGTTATTTGTGTTAATAATTAACGTCAAAGATGTTAGGATAGTGAAGTATGATACTCTGTAGCTTACTTTCGTTGATGAATATAAGCCTTTGACATCCTAAGGTTGAGACCAAAGTAATTCACCTAATGTCGTCTATTAGTTTTGTGTTCGTAACTAGAGAAGGAGACAAATTTTTGCTTCAATTCCTAGTTACTGACATATTTCTTTTCACCATTTTGACGCAGAAACGGAGGTGGGGAAGCTGCTGGAGCCTGTACTGGTGTTTTGGTTCGCACAAAAACAGCAAGCGAATTGGTCACGCCGTACTTGTTCCTGAACCAGTGTTACCAGGTGCTGCAGCCCCTGCACCAGAAAACCAAGCCCCATCAACAGCCATTGTTTTACCCTTTATTGCCCCTCCGTCTTCTCCTGCATCTTTCCTTCAATCAGATCCTCCTTCCGCTACACAGTCCCCAGCTGGACTTTTGTCCCTCACTTCTCTTTCCATCAATGCTTACTCTCCTGGTGGACCCACATCGATTTTTGCCATAGGTCCCTATGCATACGAGACCCAGTTAGTCTCACCACCTGTTTTTTCCACTTTCACCACTGAACCATCCACGGCTCCTTTCACTCCTCCTCCTGAATCCGTTCAACTCACCACACCTTCATCCCCTGAAGTGCCATTTGCTCAGCTTCTGACATCTTCATTGGACCGAACTCGGAGGAACAGTAGTGGTGCCAACCAGAAGTTTTCACTCTCTCATTGTGAGTTTCAGCCTTACCAACTGTACCCCGGAAGCCCCGGTGGCAATCTCATATCCCCAGGATCCGTGGTCTCAAACTCCGGTACCTCTTCTCCTTTCCCTGATAAACACCCCATTCTTGGGTTTCGCATGGGGGAAGCTCCAAGGCTTTTGGGGTTTGAGCATTTCACCACATGGAAATGGGGTTCAAGGTTGGGTTCTGGTTCTTTGACCCCAGATGGTGTGGGGCTGGGTTCAAGGCTAGGATCTGGCTCGGTGACTCCAGATGGTGTGGGGCTGGGTTCAAGGCTGGGGTCTGGCTCCTTGACCCCAGATGGCTATGGGCTGGGTTCAAGGCTGGGTTCTGGGTGTATGACCCCAAATGGTCCAGGACTTGGTTCCAGGTTGGGTTCTGGAACTTTGACACCTGATGGTTTTTTGGTTGTTTCTGGAGATAGTTTTCTTTTGGAGAATCAAATATCTGAAGTGGCATCCCTTGCCAACTCAGATAACGGATGCCAAAATGATGGATCAGTAGTTGATCACAGAGTTTCATTTGAGTTGACTGGAGAAGATGTTGCACGTTGTCTTGCAAGTAAGTCAGCCTCATCAAACGGTAGAACTACTTCAGAGTCTTTGGAAGATTCACCCGCAGAATGCCCCACTAAGAAAGATGGAATATCAGCAAATAACGTTGACAGCCCCAATGATCAGTCGTGTGTTGAGGAAACTTCCAACAAAACGCCTCAGTCTGATTGTCGAGAAGGGGAGGATGATCATTTCTATCAGAAGCATCGATCAATCACACTTGGGTCGATAAAGGAGTTCAACTTTGACAACACGAAAGCAGATGTTTCAGTTAAACCGACCATTGGCTCTGAGTGGTGGGCTAATGAGAAAGTAGCTGGGAAGGAAGCAAAGGCTGGCAATAGTTGGAGTTTCTTTCCGATTCTGCAGCCTGGGGTCAGTTGACAGATAAAGAAAGAACTTTGAAAATGGATCTGCAATGGTAAAACCACTAACAGAAAATCTAGAGAGAGTACAATTTTGAAGACACAAAAACTTGGTAAAACTGGGATCAATTTATTGATGAATGAAGTGCAGCAATTAGAGGAGAGCTTCTTGAATGTTTCGTGCCCAAGACACGATGCAGAAAGGAGATAGCAGCTTGTAGGATTTCTAGTGTGAGTAGTGGTATAGCTAGCGCATTCTTTACAATTTTCTTTTACTATGTTATACAAAAGGATAGCGTTTCAGTATAGTGTTTTTGTTGTGGGCTCTAGATTTTCTTGTAATGTGTACAAATTAAAAAGAAGCTCAAAATAGTACCTCTGACTTCTGAGACCTGATCATCTGATGAAATCTATTTGGGAACCATATGTTACAGGGCCTTATTCAGAGTTTTGACTAATATCAGATCTAACTGTTTACTGCAAAAAATACTGACTAGTGGACCCCACTTTTTTAGAGGACCACTCCTATTAAGGATCTGTTACGGTTTTAATTTGGGATAATTGTACTCCAAAACGTGTGGGGAGAAAGCTGGACCACGAGTATGTTTGGTAGGAAAGAAAAGTAGAAGGAAGGAAGAAGGTGGAGAGATTTTGGGAAGAAAAATGAAAATATAGGTTGTATGGTAGGAGAGAAAAGAGAAAGGAAGAGAAAATAGAGTGGAAAATAATACATGTGGGTTTCACTATTTTTTTTCTTTTCACAAGTGGGCAGAAAATGGGATGAAAAATGGAAAAAACTCATTAAAGCGAGTAAAATTATTAAACTACCCTTTTCTCCATCAACATCGAAGCAAAAAATTTAAGGGTATAAAAGTAATTTACGAGTAAGATTTTTTCTTCTCTCCCAATTTAACTTCTAATACCAAACAAGTGAAGGTAAGTTCATTTTTTTTTTTTCATATTCTCATACCAAACAACATAAAAGAAAATCAATTTTCTTTCCATCATTACTATTTTTCATCACTTTCATATTTTTTTTTATCGTATTTTCTTTTCTTCCTACCAAACATAGCATTAAAGTATGTTTGGTAGGAAAGAAAAGTAGAAGGAAGGAAGAAGGTGGAGGGATTTTGGGAGGGAAAATGAAAATGTAGGTTGTTTGGTAGGAGAGAAAAGAGAAATGAAGAGAAAATATAGTGGAAAATAATACATGTGGGCCCCACTATTTTTTTCTCTTTCCACAAGTGGGCAGAAAATGGGATGAAAAATGGAAAAAACTCATTAAAGTGAGTAAAATTACTAAACTACCATTTTCTCCATCAACATCGAAAGCAAAAAATTTAAGAGTATAAAAGTAATTTACGAGTAAGATTTTTTCTTCTCTCCCAATTTAACTTCCAATACCAAACAAGTGAAGGTAAGTTCATTTTCTTTCCATATTCTCATACCAAACAACATAAAAGAAAATCAATTTTCTTTCCATCATTGCTATTTTTCATCACTTCCATATTTTCTTTTTATTGTATTTTCTTTTCTTCCTACTAAATATAGCATTAATGATCATGCATGGAAAATTTCTCAAATTTTCATCAATGTTATTAGTACCATCCATAAGTTTTTGGTTCCAACCACCAGAGGAACAGCATTTTCTTTAAAGACCAACTTCACTAGTCTAGTGAGTGAGGATTGAGAACGAACGTCCAATTTTGTAGAGGCATATATATACAATTTTGACTGGTAAAGAAAATAAGGCTAATTATGGATTATACTATTGCCATTTAATGGTTGGTGCCAGCAGTATCTTATGCTGGCTAAGGATAAGCCTCAATAATGTCAATCATCATATTTACGTATATATATAACGGCCAAATCTCGTGTCCTTGTCCTTAAGAAACTTTGCCCCAATTATATAAACTACAGCCATGACAGAAGAAACAGGCTGTGACTGCATATGGGCTATTCTTCTTGAGACCACACGAGTGGGGGGGAAAAAATACAATGTTTGGAGGTTGTAATATTTTATTGGTAATATTTCATGGAATGTGAAAACCCAAGAAGTCCCACGTTAGAAATTTAAAAGGAAAAACAGTGATTACATAGAAAAGTGTGCAACAAGAAAATATTTGTTTGACCCTCTTGGACCGCAGCCGCGTTAATTCAAGTGGGTTACTTGTGTTATTCAAAAAAAAAAAAAAAAAGAAAAAAAAAGTGGGTTAGTTGTGTCCATATATGTAGACAGAAATATTATATTGGGACAGAGAAAAAAAAAAAAAAAAAAAAAAAGAAAGAATAGTTACTTACGTCTCAAATCCCATAATTCTATTTTTCTATCGTTTACAATATCCAACCTAACAATAAAAAAAGACAAAAAAGGAACTATTGCATAACAGAGAATGAACCGGTGTCTCACAGATGAAACCTTGCATGTTGGCTACGTGGAACAAAGTGGATACACAAGGCAAATACCTAATAATATATACCTTCGTATATATGAATAATACTTTAAAAATATTTAGAAAATCACATACTGAATAATTTTTAAGTACCTTACAGAAAATTTGTCACGAGATATGACCCGATCGACACGTCATGTCGGTGATGACACACATGTTTCTTCGTGGCAATCCTCATGCACAGTGCGTATTAACCAAGGTTAATCCTTACTTACCCTGATGCGTTTACAACAGCAAATCGAGTTTGATTGCTGTGTTGTACAAGAAAACAACTGGAATTCTCAAACTTTTTGTTTTAACATAGCTAAGTGAGGCAACAACTTGAACTGCTTGGATTTGTTTCATAATATCTTATTATTAATACAGGTTTAAGTAGTTTTCACGTATATACAAGTCAAATTAAGGAGTTTAATGTACCAAGAGAAAAATAAGCCACCGTGAGGAAAGATCCAAGAAGGTTTGTAAGCGGTAAACGAGTCAAAAGAAGGAGGTTTGGATATGTTTCATAATTTCTTATTATTAAATTAATACAAGTTTAAGGCATTGTTCATTTTACCGATTCGAGTTTTTAATTTTAAATTCATACAATTAAAAGCTCTCAGAAAATGCTATATCTCAGCTCGAATTAGAAACTCAAATCCGCGAAACAAACGAGGCATAAGTAGTTTTCAAAGATATATATGAAATCAAAAGGCGTTTTCATGAGCCAAAAAATAATTAAAAAAAAAGATAGGAGTTTCATTATGTACAGAGAAAAGTACATGATTTATGTAAAACTATATTACTTATGTCATTCTAAATAATTTTGTGTTATTATAGTCTTTTGTTTTCTTTTTATTAATTAAATAACAATTGTTTATTTTTAAGTGGAGTAGGGTATTTTTCCTTTAAGTTTAACTGAACAAAAAGATAAGCGACCAGGAGAAAACGAGGCTTGTAAGTTGTAAGAAGACAAAAACCCAATTTGAGTAACTTAAGGGTGGCAATTCGTGTTAATAGATCGTGTTCGTGTTAAACCCATTTATTAATTATTTCATAGAATATCAACCTAGACAAGACTCATTTATTAAACGTGTCAAAAATATTAATCCAAACACGATTCATTTATCAATCGCGCTAATCATTTCTACCTGCATAACCTATTTAAATTAATATATTGAATAAATAATTGATACAATTAGGATTTATTTAATACGACCATGACACATTTAACAGTTTTATTAATCAATTTATCTTTTTTTTTAAGAAAAACAAGTAAACTTCATCTAAATATTTTTAAACACCTATTATTTGTCTTTGATACATTATATAAACTTTTATATTATATCATATATAATTAATCTACAAATGATACATATAGTTAATTGTTCATTTCGGGCCACTTTGTGCTAAAAGATCAGACCTGACCTAATTTATTTATTAATCGTGTTAATCATATCAATCTGATTATGATTCAAATCTATTTATTGTAAACCTAAACTTACTAATTCCATGCGATTTCAAGTCGTGTTATAATCCAAATTATTACCTTTAATTTTGAGTTGTGTTGTCGTGGATTGCCACCCGTAGAGTAACTATAAAGATATTCATTACCATTATTTAAAGCTAAATTCTGAAGAAAACTTGCCAATTTTCAAATGGGAAAATGCACGACATTTGATAATGCGAGGTTTAACTTTAATGTTTCCCCGTTGAAAATGTGAGGTTAACTTTAGTGGGTAAAGATTATACTTGTTCATAAAGGACCGCTTCAAAGACCAATTTTATTGCAATCTAAGTTTTGTGAGTAACGTTTTGTAGCATACTCAAAATTCAAGGAATCCTAGTTATAAATTCCAGTCAATTATGAGTATGCCAAGTTGAGAAAGAAACTTACTAGCTTTCCAATTAGAACTCAAGACACGAAAAAGGATAAATATTACCCAATTAGAAAATTCATGAATTTTTAATTTCTTTCTTTTTTTTTATTTTAAAGTAGTGATGGGATTCATTTGTAGCTAATACTACTTTTTTATTTTATTTTATTGAAATGGTAGCTAATACTATTACATGGACAATTTTTAACGTTCCAATAGATCGATTTATTAGAAAAACAAAAATCAACCTTTTTTGAGTAAGAAAAACCGACTCTTTTTCCTATCAAATAATTTAAAAACAACTTTTTGTCGTCATTTTGGAACATGCTCACAATTATTTCCTAAAAAAACTCACAATTATGACGCTAACAAATCTCGGCCGGTGTCCGGTGACCACATTTTCAAATTCAATTATCAATTTATAGATCGAATCAAAATTTATCTCTCTCCCCCGTAATTTATTTTTTCTAATTTTGATTGTCTTATTCTTGTGTAGATCTCAAAATCAATTAACTAAAATAGTTCATTTTTTTTTAAAAAAAAATTAACTAAAAAAAGTTTGGTGCCGCACATATGGATCCTTTGCAACAACTTTAGCTTTTGGAAAAAACAAACGGAGTCACGAAACCAAAGACTCTGGAACACATGTCACAGTTTATCTTCTTCCAAATCCCACTTGACTCGTTAGCTCCAACGCATCTCTCTCATATCATATCTCTCCATCCATGAGATTGCCTTGAAAACAAAAAACAAAAAAAAAAACAAAAACAAAAAAAAACCCTTCAATGTTCAACCCAAAAAAGTCCTCCCTCTCTAGTCCCCACTTTTTTGGTCCTCCTATCGTATCCATTTAGAGAAAACATCCACACTCTACTCAAACAACATTTTTACACATGAATCAGGTATAAATACACACAAAAAGAAGGCACAAAAATCTTCAACAAAAAAAAAAAAAACAAAAAAAGAAAGTAAAAAACAAAAAAAAATGGCTATGGCATCAACTGTAAAAGTTGTTCTAGGCTCAATAGCCTTCGGGATATTCTGGATAATGGCGGTTTTCCCGTCGGTCCCGTGCCTTCCGATTGGCCGAACCGCCGGCTCTCTCCTCGGCGCCATGCTCATGGTGGTCTTCAAAGTCCTGTCTCCCGACCAAGCCTACGACGCCATAGATCTCCCGATCCTCGGCCTCCTCTTCGGAACTATGGTCGTCAGCGTCTACCTAGAGCGAGCCGACATGTTCAAATATCTCGGAAAAGTGCTCTCATGGAAGAGCAGAGGAGCCAAAGACTTGCTCTGCAGAATCTGCTTCATCTCCGCCGTCTCCAGCGCTCTCTTCACGAACGACACCTCCTGTGTCGTTTTGACGGAGTTCGTCCTCAAAGTCGCCAGACAACACAACCTCCCTCCCCACCCGTTCCTCCTCGCGCTCGCCACGAGCTCGAACATCGGGTCCGCCGCCACGCCGATCGGGAATCCCCAGAACCTCGTCATCGCCGTGCAGAGCAAGATCTCTTTCGGGCGCTTTTTGGTCGGGGTTCTGCCGGCCATGCTTGTGGGCGTGTGCGTCAATGCCGTGCTTCTTCTTTGCATGTATTGGCGGCTCTTTTCGATCAAGAAAGTCGAGGAGGATCCCGCTTTGGAGGTCGCCGCCGTCGAGGCCGCTCCGGCCCCTCTTTCCCACTTGTCCTCAATGGGGTCCCAAGATTGGAGCTCCAAGCTTGAAAATCTCAACTTTCAAAACTCACCAAGTGTTAATACGACAACGAATGTTGAGAGGCTCAGAAACAGGTTGAGTTCGAGCGAGACGGAAATCCACAGAGTTCCTAGCGACGCCATGGAAGGTAGTATTGGAAGGAGTTCAAATGATGGGCAAAAAGACGTGGCGATTGATGTTGGAGGGTCACAGAAAAGAAATGATCAAGAGAGTATTAATAGTAATAATAACAGTAATAATGCCGTTATTAGTGTTCATAATTCGAAAAGGATTGCTTCAGCAAATGGGCTGTCTGATACGTGTTCTTTGAGGTCGGCAGATCAGGCCCTGAGGCCGATTACGAGTATTTGTTATCCCAAGAAATGGAAAAGAGTGGTTTGGAAAGCCTGCGTTTACCTTGTGACTGTGGGAATGTTGGTGGCTTTGCTTTTGGGGCTCGACATGTCGTGGACTGCTATTACTGCTGCTCTTGCTCTTGTCGTTCTTGATTTCCAGGATGCTGAGCAATGCCTTGAAAAGGTAAATGCCTCGTTTGTATTCGTTCGTTTCGCTGATTCAAGTTTAGAATTTAAATTTTATTACAGTAAAAATATTCTCACAAACAGTCACATCTAACTTTTTTACTACAGTAAAAAGCTCTCACATAAAATCACATCTCAACTCAAATTTTAAACTCGAATCAACGAAACAAACGAGGCCATCACTCAAAAGAAAACGTAAGTGTATATTTAGGAAAAAATGTTAGGACTTTTTAAATTCACTGTTAAACACATTAGAATTTCACTATTATATTTTTATTTAAATAATAATATATTAATAAAGTTCAACAGGATCTCATAATTGGAGTTAGGTACGGTAAAATTATTTTTAATTAAAAGGTTAATTTAGGTTCGTGTAATTCGCTGATTCGAGTTTTTAATTCGAGTTGAGATGTGATTTTATGTGAAAGTTTTTTATTGTAGTAAAAAAATTAAGGCCCCGTTCATTTTATTGATTCGAGTTTAAAATTTGAGTTTTGTTGTAGTAAAAAGCTCTAAAAAACAGTCACATTTAATTTTTTTGTTACAATAAAAAGTTCTCACATAAAGTCACATCTCAACTTGAATTAAAAACTCGAAACAGCGAACTAAACGGACTCTAAATGTGATTGTTTATGAGAGCTTTTTACTGTAACGAAACTCAAATTCTAAACTTAAATCGGTGAAATAAACAGAGTCTTAATATTACTTTTAGAGGTGATAAAAGTTTTTTTTTTTTTTTTCAATTTGATAATATGCAAATAGCTTGTTTGATAAAAGTGCAAAAAAAAAAAAACTCTCTAGAGATACCATACCAACGTACTTCTACCGTGTTTTTACTTTTTTTTTGCCATAAGTAAAAATAGAACTTTTTAGAGCATAGTGAATTTAGGAGACGTTTGATTCATAAATTAAAATTATGAGATTAGAATTATTTTTAATTTATGTATATTTTTTATGAGAAAAAATATTGTAGTAAACTATGAATTATGATTCGAATTAAGATACGAATCCTCTTATCAAACATCCCCTTAAACTAAACATTTTTTTTTTCTTTTGTTGAGCAGGTTTCGTATTCGCTTTTGATTTTCTTCTGCGGGATGTTTATCACGGTTGATGGGTTTAACAAGACGGGAATACCAAGCACTCTATGGGACTTAATAGAGCCTCATGCAAAAATTGATCGCGCCAGTGGGATTGCAATTCTTGCTCTAGTCATTCTTGGCCTATCAAATTTGGCTTCAAATGTACCAACTGGTATGATTTTGGCTTCTCTCTTGTTTACTCTTTTTTGTCTATTTTCTTATTTTCTTTACTTGAAAAGGGGGAAAAAGAAAAAAAGTTGACCCTTGTCTGAGCACAATCAATGGTAGGAGAGTAAGGTCTACATGAGTACACGCAAGTACTTAATATACAACTTATTCCCTTTTAGTTAAAAATTCTGCTCTCATACTAAGCAAGTCGTTTTCCAAATTTATTACCTAAAAAAAAAAAAAACCACTGGTTTTTGATGAACAACCGTTTAAGCTGGTAGAATTTAAAATATACATATATATTCAATGTTATGACCTCAGATTAGTCTGTAAAAATATATCTATAGTATGACATCCCTATGAAAAGAAAGAAGATACATAAAAATATTGTAGATATATGGTCCGTTTAATTCGTTGATTCAAGTTGAGATTTGACTTTATGTGAGAACTTTTTACTGTAAAAAAAAGTTAGATGTGACTGTTTATGAGAGTTTTTACTGTAGTAAAACTCGAATCGGTGAAATAAACGGGACAATAGTATAGATATTGGTCGTTTTCCAACTTGATTTTGATAACATGGTCTTTTTGAGTCATTTTCAAGTCCTAACTTTTATATATTCTTTCTATCTTGGTGACGAAGCCTTTGTATTGTATGTATTTAATATTTCTATGGGGATTTTGTCTTTCTGCATGTTAATGTCTACAAAAAGTGCCCTCTTATAAATATTCACACAAGCCTTTTTAGCCCCACACAGTGCACAGCCACATAATGCACCCTGTTTCTCCTAGAAGCTAGAATTCATTTTGTCTTCATTTCTAAATTTACAATTTTTTTAACATAAGAATGGGATTGACTATCAAGAATTTCCACATTTAGTAGTCAATATAATTTAAAAAAGAAAATGGAAAGGACCAAAGAAGGTTAAGAAAAAAGTTGTACTTACAATACATGACAATGTATCAGTTAAAAAAAAAAAAAAAGTATTCCTCTGACATCATTTCTTCTTTAGACTCTTGTACAATGGAATATGCATTCTCTTTCTCTATTTTATTGTTCATTTTAGGAGAATTTGTGATAGGGTGAGAAAGAAACTCTTATCCATTCTAAATCGTCAAATTACACCCATATCAAATTAAAGTAGGATAATCTAATAAAACTCAATAAGACATGATGGTTGAAAATTATGCCTACATATAGGTTTCGTTTTATTTTTTATTCTAAAACATAATTCTCCTACATTATTATTATTCTTTTCACGTCCTTTTTTCTTTCTCTCTTTGTTTTAAGAGTTTAGTGCGCATTTTTTTGTCACACCACAATCAAACAGTATGTAAATTTGACTATTCTATGTATTTTTTGCACCCATTTATTGCAGAATTTCCCCTTTTTTTTCCTTTTAAATCTTTAATTATTTATTTATTTTCGTTATAGTTCTGTTGCTTGGAGGGAGAGTGGCAGCTTCAGCAGCAAATATTTCAGCAGCTGAGGAGAAGAAGGCATGGCTGATATTGGCTTGGGTCAGCACAGTGGCAGGGAACCTCTCACTGTTGGGATCAGCAGCCAATTTAATTGTCTGCGAACAAGCTCGCAGAGCCCCACAACTTGGCTACAATTTGTCGTTTTGGAGACATCTCAAATTTGGAATTCCGTCCACTTTAATTGTCACCGCTATTGGTTTGACGCTCATAAGATAATTCTTTCAAAAAAAAAAAATAATAAATATTTTTTTGTGTGTGTGTGTATGCTATTACATTGAGAATTTTCATATAGACGCGTTGTAACTTAGATCAATAACAGGAAAAAAAAAATATCTCCAATTTGATGCGGTTCAAACTCGCAAAATGAATATAGAGATAGATTGGTTTTAATACAAGTTGCAATAATAAATTATTTGTTTGGGAGAAAAGTTGTCTAGGATGGGGACACTCAAGTGTGTGTGTGTGTCTATATATATATATATATA